CTAAGTTTAAATAATTATAAGATCCTTAATTAATACTTTTTAATAATCGATTTTATATCGAAAACGCGTTTTTAATTATAATTAATATTATATAAAGTTTTTTATTTATCGTAATTTAATATACGTCGCGTCGCGTTTAGTAAAAAAATAATCGGTTATATTTTATATATTATTAAATCATAATAAAAATTTTTAATTAATTAAGTTAATAACTTATTTAAAAATCACGGTTTTTTCTAAAAAAGTTATTTTTTTTAAATTCGTATAAGTTTTATATTAAAATAATAAACTAATATATCGGTCGCGAAGTATTATTTTTAAAATATTATAAATAAAAGCTACTTTTTATATAGATAAATTTAGGTTTTTTTTAATAATTTAAAATATAAGGATAATACGACTTTTATTTAAAAAAGAATCTATAATTGTACGTAAAAAAAAATAGCTATTAAAATAAAAGGTATAGAAGGAAAGGAAAATAGGCGACTCGCTATAATAGGCGACTCGCTATAATAGGCGACTCGCTATGTATATACGTTAATTAATTTAGAAATATTAAATTATTACGTCGTTTATTTTATTTATATAAACTATATTAAAATTAAGTTTTTAATATAATAAAATATTAAACTAAACTATTATTATAAAATATAAAAAGCTTATTAATATAAAAAATAAATTATAATATAATAAATAATAAACTTATATTAAAAAAACCTTTTTTTAATTAATTAAATTATTATTATATTTTTATTTATATTTTTAAAATATAAAATAATATCGAGGCCGTAATATTAAATTTTAATTTTTAATAAACGTGTTTTAAAAATAATATTAATATAAAAGTTTTTTATAATAGCGACGTTTTTTAAAACGAGGTTTTTAATATTAAAACTTTTTTTATTATAAAAAGCTTTTTTAAAAATTTTAATTTTAATTTTTATAATATAAATATAAATAATACCCGCTTTTATAAACTCACTTTTTAAATAAAATTTATAAAATTCTTTTTTTAATAAGGCTTTATTTTTTTATAATTATTATAAACTATATTATTTAATAAAATATAGCGTTTTTTAAAAAATATTAAGAATATTAAAAAGTTTATAAAACCGTTTTTTTATAATCTTTTATTATTATTAAAAATAATAACTATTATAATACTTTTAAAATAGTTTTTTAAATAAGTTTTATTATTTTTTTAATTTTTTTAATATACGTTTCTAATATTATTAATTAGTTACCTTTTTTTAATATTTAAGTTAAATATAATTAAAAATTAATACTATAATTTAATTTTTTATTTTAACCGTTTTTTTATTTATAAACTTTTTTATATATTTAAACGTTTTTATAAAAGTTTTTTAAATTCTTTTATAATTTTATAAAAATTAATAATAATTCTTTTATATATAAATAAGTTTTAAATATTATTTTTTAATTATTAAATTTTTTAAATATTTTTTAAAAATAATAAAAAGGCTAAGGTTTTCATTATTTCTTTTTAAAAATTAATTATTTTAATAAAGAATTTTTAAAATCTGTCCGTATTTTTTTAAAATTAAAATAAAGCGTTTAAGATTTTTATTTATAATAAGTTTATTAAATATTTAAATTATTTAAGTCGATATAAAACGAGTTTTAATAATTTTAAAAAACCTTTTTATTATTAAAACTTTTTAAATTTTAAATATATTATAAGTTTAAAATCGTTTATATATTTTATATTAATTAAAATATTAAATAATTAAAAAGACGTTACTTCGAGAGGCTTTAAAAAATATATTATTATATTTTTTATAAATTATTAAAAAAATTATAAATTTAATAAATATTAAATTACGTTTTAATATATAACGTATATATATAGCGAGCGGGCTATTATAATAAGTAGGCTATTTCTATTACTATCTATACCTCTTCCTTTTATAATAACTTTCCTCTACGTATAATAATAATTTATTTTTAAAAAAAAGCCGTATTATTTTTATATTTTAAATTATTAAAAAAAAATTAAAATTATTTATATAAAAAACTATTATTATTTATAATATTTTAAAAATAATATTTTAATATTAATATATCGACCGATTATTATAATAAAAAACGTATACGAATTTAATAAAAATAACTTTTTTAAAAAAAATTATAATTTTTAAATAAGTTATTAATTTAATTAATTAAAGATTTTTATTACGATTTAATAATATATAAAATATAACCGATTACTTTTTTAATAAACGCAACGTAACGTATATTAAATTATAATAAATAAAAAACTTTATACGACGTTAATTATAATTAAAAACGCGTTTTTAATATAAAATCGATTATTAAAAGGTATTAATTAAGGATTTTATAATTATTTAAACTTAATTTATTTTTATATAAAATATAATTATAAAATACGAAATATATAATTATAATATTTATAATTTTAATAAAATAGGCTTTTTAATAAAAATACTTTTATATATAAAAATTATTATAATTTTTAATTATTATAAAAAGCCTTATATAAAATAGCTTAATAATTAAAAATAAGGTTTTATTATTTAAAAAATATATATAAATAATTAAGCGCTATTTTTATATATTATTATAAAAAATAAATATTACCTTTTTTTATAATATATTAATAACTAATTCCCTTTTAAATAACGTATTTATTTTAATAAAAATAAATAGATTATAAATAAAATCGGCCTAGATTAATTAAAATATTTTAAAAAATATATAAAATCTTATATAAAAAATATTAAATAGTTTTTAATTTTTAATAACTATAATAATTATAAATTAATTAAATTTAATAATTATTATAAAAAATATAATATTATCGCTTTTTATATATTTCCTTATTTATTATATAAGTTTTGGTTTTTTAATATTAATTATTTTAATTTATTAAAAGCTTTATATAATAAAAAAATTAAAAAATAATATAAATATAAATTACGTATATTATTAAAAACGACTTCTTTTTTACTTTTAAAATAGCTTTTTTTATATTAATAAATAAAAAAAACATACAAATTAATTTTAAATAAATTAAAATTATACTTTTTAATTTAAAAATAATTATTTTTTATTTAAATTTTAAATTAAAAATGCTAATATTATTTAATTTACGTTTAAATAGCTAAGGTTTTTAAAACTTAAAAATATTAATTATAATATATAACGTTATATAAAGCTTTATTTTATTTAAAAAACGTATTTATAATTATTAATATAACTTATTAATATATTCATATAAAATTATTAATTTATAAATTAAAAATATTATTAAATTAATATATAAACTAGCTTTTATTAAAATTAAATACCGTAGTCTTTATATAATAAATAAAATATTAAATAAACGTTAAAAGGCTAAAAAAACAGAATTATATTTTAAAAGCTTATTTAATATTATTAAAACCGAGGTAATTTAAATAAAAAAAGGTTATTAATATTAAAAGCGAAAATATATATTAAAAAGGTATTTATATAAAAAAAATTAAATCGTACGGGCAGTAATATAATAACTATAGAAAAACTAAATATAATATATAAATATATTAAATAGTTTAAAAGACTTTTAAAAAAAAGGCTAATAAATAGTTTTAATTAATTTTGTACGATATAGCTTAATTAACTTATATAAATAGTAAGAGGGTATTTAGAAGTGGCCCGCTCGCTATATATATACGTAATATAAGTTTTTAAAAATTAATTTTGTTTTTATATAAAAGTTTTATTTAATATTTATAAGCTTTTATAAATTAATTATTTAGAAAATAAAGGATTTAATTGTTTCATAACTCGTTATAATCGTTATTCGTATTTAATTTCGATTAATATAGTTTTAAATAAGTTATTTATATTCGTTTTTAATATTATTAAATTTAATAAGATGTGGTTTTATAAGCTTATTAATTAAAAGAATTTAAATTTAATCGATTTTATTATTATTAAATATTTAAATATTATTTTTATTATTACCGTTTTTTTAAACGATTAATTATTTATAATAATTATTTTTTAATTTAATAGTATATTTGGTAATTAATTTAATAAAATTTAATATTTTTAATAATCAAATATCGTCGTTATTAACGTTTTTTATATTTAAATTAATAAGATTTTAAATAAACGCATTTATTATATATATTTAAAAATTAATATACTAAATTATTAATCTATTTTTATATTAAAACGTTATTTATTATTAAATATAAAAAGTTAAATAGTTATTAATATTATTAAAAAGCGTTTTATATTTTTATAAATTTTAAAATAATAAAAATACTCGTCCGTTTTTATATTTTTAAAAAAAGGTTTATAAAAGCTAAGTTTATAATTATAATAAATTAAAAATATAAAAGCGTAGTTTTTATAATTTAAAATACTTATCTTTTTAAAAAAATATTTTATAAATTAATTAAATAAATATATTATTTAAAGGTGCTTAGGAAGTAAGTTAGTAAGCGTATTTAAGTAGGTATTATTTTAGTTATATGTGGCTATGCGCTGGACCTCTTGCGATATAATATTATTAAGTAAGGCAAATAATAAAGTAAACGTATTTACTATTTTAACATTAATTAATAATAATTTAATTTTATTTTAATTTGTTAAGACAATAATTTTAAAGTTTATTACTTAAAAAGTCTAAAAAATTTAATATCTTTAGTATTCATTCAAGTAGCAAGTAGACCTTCTTGACGAAACCTCACGGACGGTATACATTCATTATGTATTATTTAAGGGCGGGGGGAGGGGTGCCTGCGCGTCTTTGCCATCCTAGGTATCCGTATGTAGCACTCTACTTTACGCACTGGGCGCGACTGGTTCTCCATACCCTTTCTGCGTTCTTTCCTACCGGGTCTCGGGACTTCACTATTGGCCGTTCAGACTTCACCCCCAGGACAGTAGTCCATTGACATCGGACACGTTGGCTAACCAGCGGACGAGGCCGGGAAATAGCAAAATACGACATATTCTTGCAGCCCCGGATGGGTGTTCTCGCGGCCCAAGCAGCTCACCGCGGGCGCCGCCGGTTGAAGAAGTCCACAGGCGTTGTCAGAGACGATTCAGATGATGAGCTTGGCATAGATGACCTTCCGTGGGAATGGATACTGAAACCCGAATATGCGGACACTTCTCAAGACCATGGCGACGATGCGCAGAACACTCGAAAGCGAAGGAGGGCAAACCCCGAGACACAGATTGTGGGAGCCCGGATGGGCAAATTTCAGTGCCATGTCGGCGACTGTGTTCTGTTGAAAGCGGAAGGATCCAACGAAGCCTGGGTCGCCATAATTTGCGAGTTCTTGGAGGAGGAAGGTGGTGAAAAGGCAGCCAACTTCATGTGGTTTTCGACAGAGAGAGAAATCCGCAATAAGGAGAAGAAACGGTCGGATTTTCTGCCAGTATGTCGTCCGGATCAGGCTTACAATGCCAACGCTCACCATCGGGTTGCCTAGAATGAACTATACATATCCCCGTCATGGGATGTAAACCCGCTGGCTGCTATCAACGGTAAAGCTGTCGTCACTTCTCATCAAGCCTTTTCTCAAAGGTACCCGTCGGGAAAAGTTTCCCGATCATCACCCGATTTTGGTAAGACGTTTGTCTGCCGTCGTGCATGTAACACAAGAACAGCAACCTACACGGACGAGTTTGTGTGGGAAGAAGTTTATCAGGCGAGTGAGCAGGGCGTTCCTGACCTGATCGAGTTTGTCAAATCACAAACGAAATCGACAAGACGTGGCCAGGCAGCACGGGAATCAACGCCAGAGCAGCCATACGTGATGACGACCCATGGTGTGGCTGCGTTCACACCAAAACGGACCTTGAAAGGTGAGCAATCTACGCCCAAGGGAGATGCCCCGACAATAACAACGCCTGGGTCTCGAAAACGGTATGTGGTTGCTGTGCACTTTGCTCACTCATTGACTTGCCTAATCGGCCGTGTTGATGTAGAATCTTGGTGAAAAAAACGTTGGAGTTTACGCCTTTAGGTACGAGGAAGCTATCGCCGAAGCGTTCGCAGTCGTCGCCTTTCCAGCTGGCTCGATCCCAACTCCACGTTGCTTGCGTGCCAAGAAGCTTGCCTTGCCGAGAAAGCGAATTCAACTTAGTATATTCACACCTGGAGGCAGCGATTACGGATGGTTCGGGAAGCTGTATCTACATTGCTGGCACTCCTGGGACAGGGAAGACAGCCACTGTCCGAGAAGTCATATCTCGCCTAGATGACGGCGTGAGGGCCGACGAACTTGACGATTTCATATTTGTGGAGATCAATGGCATGAAGATCACCGACCCTCACCAATCCTATACCCTTTTATGGGAGGCACTCAAGGGTGAGAGAGTCAGTCCTACACAAGCCATTGACCTTCTAGAGAGAGAGTTCAACAATCCAAGTCCTCGCCGGACGCCATGCGTGGTTCTGATGGATGAGCTGGACCAACTGGTGACGAAAAACCAGAGCGTCATGTATAACTTTTTTAACTGGCCTGGTCTACGACATAGCAGGCTCATTGTCCTGGCCGTCGCGAATACCATGGACCTTCCGGAAAGAACACTGAGTAACAAGATCAGTAGTCGCATAGGTCAGTGTCGTACCTGTATGCTGCGCAAGTTCTCCAAGCTAACATGAAATCCAGGCTTGACAAGAATTACCTTCCCAGGCTACAATCACGAGCAGCTCATGAAGATCATCCAGTCCAGGCTTGAGTGTGTGCCTGGAAGTATAGTCGAGGCAGACGCCATCCAATTCGCTAGTCGAAAAGTGGCCGCAGTAAGCGGCGATGCAAGAAGAGCCCTGGACATCTGCAGACGAGCTGTAGAGCTTGCCGAAGCTGACACTCGCGCTGAGACGTCTGCAGCGGATTCCAAGGCACGACGACAAACCCCGAGTAACGGTATGGGATCGGGGGCGCCAGTCAAGGTCACTATTGCCACAATCAAGCGTGCCATCAACGAGGCTACGACCAACCCCGTCCAACAATACCTCCGATCCCTGCCTTTTGGATTCAAGGTATTACTGAGCTGCCTGTTGGTAAGGATACAAAGAAACGGCACCATCGAGACGACATTTGGCGATGTTATGGACCAATTACACCGCATCGTCAAGCTGGACACAGCGGCTCTTGAATCTACTGTCGTATCGGCCCTGTCAGCGGGGCCATTGGGAGGTGATGTCGTTCAAGGCAATGGGAGCATCCGAGTAGTCGGGGCTCTGGCGCTGTCTCAGGCGGCGCTTGAATTAATGGACGCTGGCATCATTGTACTAGAAGCACACAAGGCAGAGCGACCAAGCAAGATGCGTCTTGCAGTGAGTGATGAGGAAATCAAGATGGCGTTTCGGGACGATGGAGAAGTAAAGGCCCTGGGTTTGTTTTTCTAGTCTCCTATTTGTACAACAGGTCCCAAATGCAGGCAGGCTCAGCCGTCGGGTATCTATTCATGACAACTATGGCAGTGTTTCCTAGCCGGTCTTTTTCTACATTGGTACTCCACAGGCACCTAATATTTGCGTCGGGCTAGTGCTGGCTGCCAGACAATGGGGTGCGACTCGGGTGTCGCCTTCTCATCCTGCTTCCATATCTTGATCGTCTTGTCGGCCTCCCCACAAATTAAACGCAGCCCGGAGCGATCGAACGTAGAGCTCATAATCCCCGCCTCGGCGTCCAAGGATCCTGGCTGTGCCGTAGTGTCTAGAGCTTGAAAGCGATGGCCTGTCTTCCAGTCCCAGAAGCTCATGGAGCCGTTATCGCCGCCTGAAAATAGAACGTTTTCTTGGTTGACACTGAGTGTGTTGATGATGGCGTTATGACCGTCAAAGTTCTGCATGAAGGCACCCTCGGGACATTTCCACTGCTTGATGCTTCCCGTGCTACCACTCGCAAACGTGAATTCTTGGGGATGCGTGGCCAAGGCCCTGACGCCCTTTTTGTGATGCGTCAGGACGCCCATTGTCTTTCCGGCAGCCAAATCCCACAGTCTTACAGTTGCATCCAACGAGCCAGTCATGACCTGAGGATCGACCTCCTGACACTTGACATCCGACACAGTCCCAGTGTGACCGGACAGGACGTGAATGTTGCTTCGGGTTCGCATGTCCCAGACTCTTGCGACACCGTCTCGACCGCCAGTGACCAGTACATCTAGGGTAGGATGGAGGGCGAGTGTGTAGACGCCACTCAGATGTCCGTGGTAGTGGCGTATGACCTTGTTTGTCTCGAGATCCCAACATTTGACCATCTTGTCTTCGCCACAAGAGAACAGATAGGGGTGGCGTGGGCTTACAGCAAGGCCACGTACGGTCGATATGTGTCCAGTCAAAGTTAGACGTAATGAGCCAGTGGCTAGATCCCAGATCTTTATAGTCCTATCGCCAGCACCACTAGCAAACCACTTGTTTCCTGGCTCGACCGCCAAGCTCCGTACCCATCCCAAGTGACCCGAGATGACTCTCATTAGCTTCCATGGTGGATGCCATTCGGGTCCAGCGCCGTGAGAAGCTGACGTGCCGGTCCGGGTCAGACTCGTTGATTGAGAAAGCTGGGAATCGTGCTCTATCGCACCAGGCCTTCCGTCGTTGATGGGAGCGCCAGGGCTGGGTCCATTGGGGCCCTCGAGAAGCTTTGGCACAGATTTCTGACCGGAAGAAGCCTGGCCTGGTTTCGAGTGTACCTTGATCCTCCGTGCCTTGGTGGGAGCGGGCTGTTTGGCAGCAAGAGCTGGTGGAAGCTGCTGAACACTGGCGTATTCCAGTCTGAAGCGGCGGTCGGCACTCGTCTCGTCCCTGGGTTTCTCGGCCACTGAGTCACTGAGCCCAGTCCTTTGTCGCTTCCTGGCGGGAACCCCTGGAGACTCGGAGTAGATGGTTCTGGTTGTCCTCCGATTGTCGTCTAGAAGGGACCTCAAAGGGAAGGTGTCAGTCGAAAATGCTGTCGGTTCGGCCATAGTGGTTCCCACGATAATGACAGCCTGGCGGGATGAATGGCACGAAACTGTCGCAAGAGTGCGATCCTGTTGATATCGCGTCAATTCAAAGGTCTTTTCTCTGCGCGAAGTGCTGAGCAACGGTTGTAGTGGATCGTAATGTGGCGGGCTGGAATAGGATTGATGGAAAAAAGACCGACTCGCCAGACGGGAGTCTTGGACTGTGCGTACGCACATCGACAATGTACCTACCTAGGTACCTAGGTAGGTGTACCTTAGGTAGGCACCTTACCTTAGGTAGGCAGGCACCTTATGTAAGGTAGTTTTCTATGCAACAGAAAGGACTCGGTACTAAATGGAAAGGTGCCTATGGCCCCACCGGAACTTTTCCGTTAGAAACCTGAGGTGAATTGCAAACAATTGTAGGTCAAGTTTCCAGCCAGGCGAGGCACCTTACCTCTTGGACTATCGTTAAAGGTCGATCACGTTTGTTGTCTACTTGACTATAAAAACGACGAATAGCCTTATTCTTTCTTGAGAAAAAGGTCTATAGCAAGGGTAATCACCGGGCTACCTCTGAAAGGCGTCCAAGGTATACACCTCCTCGGTACCGAGGTAGCTACCTACTACCTTTAAGCTGAAGTGTCTACCACTTTGCTACCTCTCTCCGTTCGCCTCTCTCTCACAACAAATTGCCCTCACCTCTCATTTGTTTCGTCTCAAATAGGCGTCTTGTGGAATTTCCCGATTCCGAATTCTCTAGGTACACCTTCAGCTCATTAATATCACAAGTGCCCGCTAGGCTTCAGGGTGAGTTGACTCTCCTTCGACTTCGGTTTGATTCATACCTACTACACCTTCACACTCGTCACTCACTGCCTCGCGCTGACTCACTACCTCTCGCTGACTCACTACCTCTCGCCAACACCATTAGCTTCACGTTCCTCCCAATCCCTCTTACAAACCACACCGCGCTGTGGGCCACCTTAAGCAAAAAAAGATTTCGTAAATTGTCACAAGGAAACGAGAAAGTCAGGATGGCCGAGTCTCGGGACGAATTCCCCCTTCACACTGCGGCCCGGGAGGGCAGAGGTACGTTGCCGTGAAAGCTGCAGCCGTAGATTAACGTCAAAACCCACCATGTAGTAAGAATATGGCTAATCGGACTTGCAGTTTCCATTGCAGAGACAATTCTCAAGGTAGCTCGATACTGAAGGCTAGGCTGGAGATCGACATTTGCTGACAATGTGCGATAGACAGAGCCCAGGCTCGCGGTCCGAGAGGACGACGATGGCAGGCTTCCCATACACTGGGCCGCGTCCTCCAACTGCACAGACATTGCCATTCTTCTTGCACAGACCCGTAGCTTCGACCCCGATGTTCAAGTAAGCTGGATTCCCGGGTCTTGAAGGCTTCGGTTCGTCGGCATTTCGCGACCGTCAACTATTTGCCCGCGTCTTGATCATGGACTAAGCTCAACTCTCGACACGTAGGACAGCAGCGGCTGGACACCGCTGATGATATCTGCAAGCCTCAAGGACGGCGAAGCTCTTGTCGATTTGCTTCTCCAGAAAGGCGCCGATGTCAATATAAAGAGCAAGATATCCCCACCCTCCTTGTTGTCGTCCTCCCAATCTTGACTATCTTCTGATAAATGCTTGCATGTTACAGACCACAACGGACAGGTGAGCGGAATTAGCGTTTCGTGAGCCTTTTCAATCTTACCCAGGGACTGATCCGGCCTCTCTTCAGAGCGTTCTGCACTTTGTGGCATCTAAAAACAACCTAGATGTAGCAAAGAAGCTTCTCAGTCACGACCCGCCCGCCTCCACTAAGGTCCGCGACAAACGCAGCCAGTACGCTATCCATAGGGCTGCTGCCATAGGCTCAGTTCCGATGGTGTCGCTTCTGATCAGGAACGGGAGTCCTCTTAATGCCACGGACGCCTCTGGCTACACTGCCCTGCACCATGCTGTTGCCGAGGGCCACGGTACGTCTTATTCCAAGCCTCAGCAACGCAATATGAACTGGAGCTAACACCGTATATTAGGTGACACAGCAGTAGCTTTGCTTACAGCTGGTGCTGTGGTAAACAGAAAGGACAATGACGGATACCTGCCTTTGGACTTGGCCCCGGACAAGGAGGTACGTCGGTTTCCCAAACACGTGCCACCGAAATCATCGTATCTAATCGGGCGCTCTTGCAGGTCCGCCGCTTTATCGAGCGCGCTGCTGAGGAGGAAGGCATAGAATTATAAATAAGCTGAGCTGGACGCCGCCATGACACACAGGAAGCCGCCTCCTCAGCTCAAGCAGTGATGAGAATATAAGTTGATATTGCCTTCACACCAAAGGTTGATAGTGATAAATGTGCTCTGCTCCGCGCGCTCAGCACCTACTATTCTTCTATCTGATTGTGCGCTCTACTAAGTCACGATACATGGCCTTGACGTCCTGCACGTCAGCCCGCAGCTCCTCTACTAGCTCGCTCTTCTCTCCGAGCAACTCTAGCGTCGTCTGGTATCTCGAATTCAAGTCCTCGACCTGTCCCTCCAACTCGGCAACCCGTTTTGAGGCCGTCTTGCTAGACTCCAAGTCTTTCATCAACGAAACGATCTCGGCTCTTGCTTCGTCTCTTTGTCCCGATATGCGCGCCAGCTCTTCACGGGATGTCACCTTCTCTGCTTCCAACCGACGGATGGCCGCACTCATCCTTTCAACCAGCTGTACCGAGGGCCCTGCACCAACCGTCGAAACGGAAACCATGTCCTGCATCATCTGGCGAGGCAACGAGGCCGTCTCCACACCGTCAAACAAATCGTCTTTATCGCCTGGATACGAGGTGGGCGTAGGCAGCGAGTCTGGGGGCAGCTCGAATGAGGTGATAGAAGGTGCCACCGGCTGATTAGAGCCACCGGATAATATCGGCGGTCTTGCCGGAGTCTGACTTGGTAGTCTCCTCCCTATCCCTAGTTGTGAACCCTCTGGGTGGCCGTCCGTCCCGCTAGTCGGGGTCGATATCTTTCGGCTCTTACCAGATACACTGTGTAGTAGAAGCAGGTCGTTGCTCATCGTACGCGTAGGTACAGAGAGCAAGGGCGAGTCTGGACGACTTTGTATCCTAGATCCAGGGCCAGGCAAGTGGTCTTCCAGCCAAGGTCGACGGTCGGGTTCAGTCGTTTCAGTCTTCCATGCTGTTTGCTGCTTTTCGAGGTCCAGTCTAGCATGGGAGAGGGCCGCCTCGGCGTTCTCTGCTCTTTTCTGGAGAACCTCATTCCGAGCTTGGAAACTCTCGATATCCCGCTGATAGTTGGGGAACTTGCTCGTGAGCTCTTGGAGCTCCTCATCCTGGCGCTTGCATCGGGTTGCCTATAATAGCTTAGAATAATCACACTTGAGGGTAGAAGTCCCAGTCTACGGTCTGGAGGCACAACGAAGCGTCTTACAGTTTCTCTAGCCTTTTTCCTCATGTCCGACTCGCGTCGCAGAGCATCATCCCTCTCGCGTTCAAGATTACCGACTCGGGCGATCAGACTGGCCTCGATACCTTGCCAATTTTCCACAGCAATGGCATGCTGCGTCTGCAGCGTTTCCACTTGACGCAAGAGTTTGACTTGAGAATCACCTACAGCGCCAGAAGACGCCTCTTCCGCTAGTGCCCGCATCGCCTCCAGCTTCCCCTCCATCGCCTGGAGCTCCGCCTTCATCTCGAGTTCCTTGGTGCGGGTGCGCTCCGCTATGCGTGCTGCTTCTTCTTCTGCCTCGGCTGCGCTTTCCTTTGCCCGACCAGCTATCAGGCTTCGCTCCAGCTGCAAAGCGGCAACAGTATCCTCAAGGTCCTTGACGCGGCGTTTCTCGGCGGTCAGCGCCTCCTCGTTCGCTCTACCTATGGCGAAGTTGGCCTGGTCAGAGGCACTCCGGAGATCGTCCCGCAGCCTTTGCATCGTAGACTTATTAGTCGAAACTTCATCGCGCAACGCGCTTAATTCATCCTGCATTCCATTAGATTTGATTTGCAGTTCTTGGTTCGTCTGTTCCAGTTCCTCAACACGGTTGGCCCGAGGGCGTAGTGCTTCCGTGTCAGCAGTCAGCTTTTCTTGACGAGTACGCAGCTCTCCCAAGGTTTTCTCGTCGTCTGCAATCTGTGCCCTGAGTTTCCTGATGATGGTTCGATGTTTCTGTTCCGTGGCGGCCAAATTCCGGCCTTCATTCATGAGAGCCGTAATCTTGATGTCTCTTTCAGCAAGCATACGCTCATGGCTTCCTGCGGGCGCCGCCGCAGCAGACGTTCGTGCGGCGTCTGTAGCATCTCGTGCCAGGAATTGCAGCTTTGCCTGTATGGACTCAAATTGTTCGACATAGCGGTGTATCTCCTCCTGTTGTTCTTTTGCTGACTGTTCCGCCTTGACTTCCAGAACTTCCACCTGTGCACGAAGCGCCGTACATTGCTTACAGTCGACACGGTGACCAGTTGACATGGTTGCTGTTCCAAGTTCTGGCCGTTGATCGGATATGGCGAAGTTGTCGGCCTGTTGAGCCTTCCAGTCTGGACTGTTCTGCACTGCGTTCGGAAGTCGCTGGCTATCCAAGGGTTCTACTCTGGAGGTCTCAATGACCTCGTCTTCGCCCTGCAGGGTATCATTAGGTATGGCGGCCGCCGCGGCCGCCGCCGGCGCTGAAGTGCTTTCAAGAATAGGAGCATCGGCAACCCTTTTGGGAACCATACCGACTGCTGGGCGACCGCCATCAGCGCTCGGCCGGGTGCTCTGGGAATCTGATATTAAGCTGCGAGCGTCGGACGGTTGAGTGTTCTTGGCGGCAATGGCCTTGGCAAGGCGCTCCTGTAGACGGTCGTTGGTACGGCTGCTGGTAGAGGATCGAGGTTGGCCTAAAATATATAACGTCAGTGATGCTGCTGTAGTGTCGCACCATACTGGTCTGAGCCACGAGAGAATGTGATGAATTACTTATCTGATGGTCCTTGGAGAGAGCCGTAGTAGAAGCCGTGGTAGGCTGAGGAGTTTCGGATTGAATAGCCCCATTCTCACCCTCAGCAAGCATGTTGTCGAGACGGGCCTCAACGCCGGCTACAGCTTGCTGGAGGAAGGAGCCCCAGCGGGTCGACTTTGCGGGAGCTGCCATGACGATGATCGGCTGTTGTATCAGTCCTAGATCGAGGCGTAGACGGCTGGGCTATGCCTTGTGGCTGTTGCGTTTTTCGGAGGTCATGAACATTTCGAGTACGCCTCCCAAGCCCTCCGTACAATGGGATGGAATGAGGCCGTTGTGCTACTGACTGACTCACTAGAGTGGGAGCTGGCTGTCTTTCCCGGGCGCGGTAGGAAGGTGTGTAGGTTTCGCGTTCGGTAGCGAACAACGTTGGATCGATTCGTGATTTGTCAAGTAGACACCTCTGACGGACTAATGGGCTGGCAGCGATGAAGCAAAGCAGAGTAGTGCAGTGCAGCAACCAGTGATTGGCTTGGACTTCGGGCAGCCGAGGAGAAATGAACGGGTGAATATGTTGTCTTTCCGTGCAAGGTGCGTTAACAGAGCGAGCTCGCATCTCATGGCCGGACAATCAACGTGGCATGTAAGGGAGCTGGAGCAATGCCGTTCATTTAGGTTGGGCAAGGTGCAGTTGCAGTTCCGTGTCGGGTTGCGGCCAGGCAGGGAGATAGGGCATATAGAAAGACAGAGGAAACACGGCTAACCACAAGTTTAGCGTGGAAATTTAGCCAGAGGAGGCAGCTGTTCCTGCAGGCCGCCTTGTGTACCCAAGTAAGGTAGGTTATCTGTACGAGGTGCAGCATGGTAAGGTACCTACCTACCTTACCTTGAATATTGTATCGAGTAAGGTACGTACCATAGGTGAAGGCAGATTGCTACAGTTGGGATCGGGTCTGTCTCTCACCAAGATGCTGGGCATTCGTACACTTCCAGCCTAACATCGCAATACTCAAGTGAGGTAGTATTATCCGGTGTAAGACTCCCTGGGGCGGACACCTCTAGACGATATCATGAACTACCTACGCATTGGCCAATGGCGATCTGGAGAATCGGTACCTAGAGCTTGGAGACAGGAGACCGAGGTTTTGTGTCCAGTCATAGACGGTACCTCAAGGAGACCTTTCGCGGGAAAAAGCTACCATGCAGGTCATAAGCTCGAAAATCTTTGGATTATTTGGGCTGTACAGAGAGCAACGCCGAAGAAGTGGGCCCGATACTCACAGGTATTAATAAACTTTGAGCCAATCAGTCACGCACAATACGGATACTAAGGTATAGTCAACGTTAGTGAGATAATTGCATCAAAGGAATCTAGTACCTATATGACTATTTGCGTAGATGCATCCACTGCCTTCAAGTAGGAACTGCATGAGGCACGTCATCTTTACCTCGGAACGCCTGCTGTATGTGGTCCGGAGCTGGACCGAGTCGAGTCTGCAACGTGGAACCAACGAGGGAAGGTAGCTCGGATTGTAGTTGCCGCCCTCGTTTGTTTCTCTGTGCAGAATCTATTTCTTACGGTACCCATAAGGCAGCCTGTAGTCACGGGCATGGCTCGCAGTGTGTCTTCGTGCCTCTCCGCAAGGTTGCGGGTCAGGCCAAGTGTGATCTCACATAACAGACAGTCAAACATCAGACAACGGGCAGGATCACAAACTAGAGCCAAAGCAAACCCTCTTTAACTTGCGACCTGCAATCCCTCCGATTCCTTGAACACGAAACAACGCGCCTGTGGTTGTCCATTGCTTGCCATACCGTACTGTGCAACTGGAAGACAACCAGCCATACTTGGTTGGCCCAGTCCATCGCAAGATACCTATTCAGATTTCCTCCGAGCGACCCGGTACTCTTCACGAGTCTACCACGGCTATCTCTCCCTCTTCCTCTCCCTTCCTCCCACCCTCCTCTCCTCTCCCTCCCTCTCTCTCTCTCTCTCTCTCTCTGTTTCTCACTTTGTTTCCCTTTCTCATTCTCATTCTCATTCTCTCTCTCGCCCCTCTCTCTAACAGGCGCACGCCTTGCTGTTCCAAATCCTCACCCTTGTGTCTCCGGCGCCGCTCGGAACACGCAGAACGGAAAGTTTAAACGACCTTTTTCACATTTCGAGTCTTTCAACATCATTCTCTGCAACCGTGTCAAAGCACCACCCCCCCTCCTCTCTCTCAACAGAATTGCATCTCACTGCACTAAGCCAGAGCGCACCTAATCTCGAGGACTCGGCAACACTTTCCCCGCTGCCTCGTGCCTTTCTGGTAAGGTTTGATCTGGTCGATATTGCCCGTCCGCAATGGCTTCGTCTCCATTGTTCCAGGCCCTACGTGTGGCGTACAATGATGATACTCCAGACGGCTACTGGGGAGAAAAAACTTCGACTTTGAACTTCTGCGAAGAGGTAAGGCAAAAATCTCCTGCCTCTTTGATAGACTGTTACCGCCGTCGCTGCTATTGACTTCTTCTCACCTTTGTACACACAGGACTACGTAGTTTCTTATTACTGCGCCGAAGTTTGCAATGTGAGTCATCGCCGACTGCACTTGCTTCAACTGGCTTTCATCCATACTAATCGGAGCCTCTTCAAGACATTAACGAATCTCCTATTCCTGTGGCTTGGCTTCAAGGGTGTGCATAATTGCGTATCTCAGAGTCACCCGCGCATATTCCTCATAGCATACCTTGGATACGTTATCGTTGGCCTAGGCTCCACAGCCTTCCATACATCTTTGAAGTGTTCGTCTTCGCTCCCCGCTCCCCAGTGTATCTATCTGCTACCTGCACATGGAATAGGTTACTGAGATAACCGACTTGCTAGACCCCATGCAACTTATCGACGAGCTCTCTATGATATATACTACGTGTCTCATGGTCTTTGCAACATTTTCATTCTCCAAGTCTGGCAAATTTTCGGTCATTCTAGGGAGTGGTCTCATCCTTTTGGCTGGCTTTATTACGGTGCGTAGTTTCCATCATAATGCCTTCACAAGGCATCGTGATCAAGTGAGTCTAGGGTTCTGACTGCAGCTCATTAGTCGTACTATCACATTACCAAAGATCCTGCTTTCCACCAAACTTGCTATGCGGCGTTGACAGCGACGGTGATAGACCCAACCCCCGGCCGCTTCAACAAGTCATCGGAATGCTCACTGACGTTATGCAGGTTGTTTTGCGCAGCTTGTATGTTATGGAGACGCAACTGCGACCAGTCCTGACGGAAAGAAATAATGACAAGACCAACAACATTCTCAACACCATGTGGATCATGGTTGGAACAGGTCTCTTGGGACACCACCAAGGCAGATATGTCAACCTGCTTTGCTAACGTGATTGGGCAGGACTCGGCGTTTTCCTCATGGGCTTTCTCATTTGGAATATTGACAACGCTTTCTGCAGTCAGATGAGACAATGGCGGCGACAGCTCGGCCTGCCGTGGGGCGCCTTACTCGAGGGTCATGCTTGGTGGCACTTAATGACAGGTGTTGGTACGTCTTTGCTTAGCGGTACCGCCATTTCTATTGTGGCAATGGCTGACATGATTCACAGGAGGTATGGAACAGAGAACAGACGAGCTTCTCATCCCCGAAGTGAGCTAACAAGAAATAGCTTATTATTACATCACGTGGGGAATATGGCTACGTAGATGTCTCGAGGGCCGCGAAGACGAGTATAGACTTGTATGGCCAAGGTCACTTTCAGCGATACCTCTAGTGGTAAAGGCTGAGAAGGCTGATTGAGTAATGCCAATGACGAACGTGCAATCAGAAAGTAGCCAAGGTGGTATCACAAAGATACGCTGTTGGATGGCTTGGTGACAGCGGCTGCCTAGACCCAAGGAAGGTATGGAAAACAAAAAAGTCTTCCAAGGCCTTCTCTTGGATTATTCGCAGATGGATCTATCGACCAGCGAGGACTGCTGGATGCAGGTGACATAATAATGCGTTTGCACATCTTCCGGATGCTGGGTGAGGCCCACGGAACTCGTGAAGGTGAAGGAGCGGTAGTCCTATAATCCACTAAACGTAATTGTTTGCACCCTTTTTGGTTGCATATATCGCTCATTGCGTTTCTGTGTATAATTAAATAGGCTGGTAACCTGGAAGCCAAGTACCCGCGTACCTTAGGTAACCTTGCTGTCTGCGCCTCCACCCCCACCTCAATAAATGCAATCTCACACCTCGACCTGCCCAAGCTGTCACCGTCAGCGACATTGAAATTGAACTGCGAAAATTTTCGTTTATGTCGCGGCAGCGTTATCTTCGGAGATTATTTGAAAAGTAATTTGTCAGTGGCACCGCGATTCAAGCCGGCTTTTATGAACCGTATCATCCCACATTAAGTCAATATGTCCATCCCGAACCAAGCACTCGAAAAGGTGAGAGGGCAGCACTGGTGTCACTCCGTGTTTTTCAACCATGCTTCCTGCTTCATCTATACTCTACTCACACGTTTTCTGGTCTAGCTGATTCGAGAGATCGAGAGTCAAGCAATTGTGGCCCAGCAGCAGATCGGCCAGGCTCGCACACAAATGACGGCGAAGCAACGAGAAATGCGTATGGTCCGTCTCACGCTGGATGAGGTTTCCAGCTTGCCCTCAGATTTGAACGTTTATGAGGGTGTCGGCAAAATGTACGTTAATACCCAGCTGACACACTTCCTCATTGTGAATGCTGGAGCCAAGTCCGTGTTCGACGGATGACGCGGCAATTGTGGTCAGCAATAGAGACTCTGTGGATGGCATTGCTGACGCCTAGCCTCGGGGGCGGGAAAGGTTCATCGCGCTGCCTACCCCGCAGCTTACACAGAAACTGGAGGGCCAAATCAAGGATAGGGAAGGCGAGGTTGAGAAACTGAGCCAGAAGCTGCACTACTTGGAGACAACGTATAAGAACAGCCGGCAGCACATTGACCAGATGCTCAAGGCGCAGTCGTGATGGAAGATACTGTAAGCGGCAGGGAGAGAATCAAATATTGGCATCGGGAATTTCTTTCCTAATGGATGACGGGAGAGGGCCAAGGAGGTGCAATGTGTCTCGATGCAACCGATAAATTGCGCGATGGGACAGGCCACCAAATGTTTCCGACTTGACCAGGTGCTCTTACGGATCGGGGTACGGGTAGCACAACATCTGAAGATGTCTCTATCTCGACAAACCGCCTTTATCACGCGCGTACAAATGGAGTATATGTATATCCCAGTTGATGTCAGCCTCGTCTGGACTTCTTCGAGCATCGACTTGGCCCCGCTTGGAACTGAGCTGGGTCGTGTGGGCTAAGTCAACGGCGTCGTCATGGATCAAGCAGAGCACTATTCGCGATTCACGGCTGAATTCATTCATGTAACAAGCATGGCAGAACGATGTACATGAGTGATGGGTGACTGACGATCCGGATGAGGTAGTACGGCGCGCAACTCGGGGGCTGCATTTGCAGTACCCGAAGCCTGAAGTCCTACTACCTCGGACAACCTAAGTACTGTAGGTACGACATGCGCCAGTGATTAAGGCGCCGCGCCACCACCGCGTCGGCAAAAATCCATGTCAACGGCCTCGCGTGGTCCTCCTCAGGCGGGAGAGTGAGACTGAGAGGGCCTCAGACCGGTGAGAAGTTTCGACAACCGCCGCAGTCTTCGGTACGTTTAAAATTAGCACTACGTACCTGTTTTCTGTTCATTGGCGATACAGTTTCGTTGCTCTCCAGGAAAGTTGTGGCAACATCAGAGGCGTCCTGCAGACCATGCGACTGTTGTGAGATTGCCGCGAGGGAAGAGAGTCGGTGGACAGGGATTCAGAACCGCAGTCGGCGCTGAGGTAGAAACTAGTACCACCTACCTCACTCGGCTACGTTATATCACTGCCTAGGTACCTTCCAATTCACTGGCGGTAAACCGTCTTGTACGACCCGGCAGCTGAAGTCCAGCTGTAATGACCTAACTTGGGACTTCAGGGTACACGAGCCGGTTCGGCCTGCTATGATTACCGAAGCAGGCTACCGCGGAAAGGGCGCTTTCCAGGCTGTTAGTCCTCGTTCGTTTATCCGTAGAAGATTTAGGGCAGAGGCAAATATCGGCAGCCTGACTGGAGTGTTTCATTGTGCCAACCATGTTAATAATGTTCTCACAGCAATGCAGCGACTGACCCGGAAAACGGCTGTCTGGTAAGGTGGGTGACACGGGTGAGTGACTGTCCGCTGGAGACGTGAGGTGAGGGGGTGGCCGGGGGTCCTGGGGGTTGGAGATTTTAGCCCCATACGGTTTTGCAGTGCCATCCACACCGAATACCTACAGTCCACAGAAACGTATATCACATACCTCCGTACCTGAGGTAGGCATTCGAGATAAGGTACGGATACCCTGTACATCTCAGAGAACAGAGCATCACGTACCTCATGTCTAGTCGCATCAATAACGAGTCATGGGATGCGAGTGTATAGCGTCACCACGGCCTCCCAGTTGGTGAGCTGTCCACTGCTAGTGTTCCAGCACTGCCGAGGAGCCCAACTGCGTACAATGTACTCCTTACAAACCAACGGCCACCCTGTCAGCAATCGCGCAGCCCTACGAAAATAGGCTAAGCCGTATTCAGCCACGAATGGCAGCCCACCTAAGCATCTGCCTCCCTCCACTGCCAGCCCTGCCACCTGCACCAAACTACGAGGGGGGAGGCAACCCCTGTCGGTCAGGTAAGGTGTCACGTGGGTGCGTAGGATTGGATGGCAGTTGTTGTGCGGATGAACCGACAAATGAACCGCCGGCCCCATGCTTTGCCGATGCTGACTACCCCGCCATCCCTCCCGATACAACGATATATGGAAGACGGGCAGGCATCACTACCTTCGTGAGGTGGCTTAGGTTCTCTATACACCTACGGTAAAGTACCTCAAGGTGAGCGTGAGTCGCCTACTGTTCTCTCCCAGTGAAACCGCATGACAGTTGATGCTGCATCATCCCGGCCCTCCTGATATGCCGCGCTCCAAGATGTCAAGTTTGATACTCATTGACTAGCAGTCATGGATGCGGCATAGGACTCTAGACAAAGCAGTCGATCGAGCCTAGCCCGTATGGATATGGCAAGACTAAAAACAGAGGGCAGGCGACATCATTTTAACTCTACGGCGTTGGCGCCCGCTTAGGTACTCAGACCGTTTCTTTCCTTGTCCCAAACTAGAGGTCCCCGACCCCGCTGCCTTCCATAACTTCATCTCTGCGCCTACTCCTACCTGTCAACCTCCCATAACTTCATGAGGTAGGTGGTACCTCACCTTACCTGGGGTTTCCCTTCTTGCGACGGTGTTAGACCCCAAGACCCTGCCGCCCCCCCTCTGCTTACCTGGTGGCTTCCCTCCTCTGCTAGGCGGGCCATCCCCTCCACCCCGCTCGATCCTCGCGCTACCCGAAGGTATGGCCAATCCAACCACTGGTTCCCCTTTCGACCATGTAAGCCGACCACCACCACCTCATATCGCGCAACTCGTCGCCCCTCCAGCTCTTACCCTAAGCCAGAAGAGGCATAAAAGACCGTCCAGTCTTATTCTTCCGCCCCCGGCTCCTCTTAAAACCACTGTCCCCCCTTCCTGGTGCTCGCTGTCACTGGCTTTCCTCTCCAGCACTCGCCTTTTCATCTCATAGGCTCACTAGTTGGTGGTCGAGCCCTTCAGTCTCACTCCTCGCTCCTGCCCACGCCATCCTCCGTTCTCCAATCATCGCGGCACCCGGCGCCATAAACAGGTACAATGAGTAGCTACTACTCCGACTCGGACGACCTGGACATACGAGTCTCGAGGCGTCGAGCGCCGTCGCCTTCACAGGTTCACTATGTCGAGGCGAGACCGAGACCCAGTAGGAATTACTACCCATCGGCAGGTCAACAGTCTAGCTTCTTGGTCCCAGAGCGCACAGTCATTGCCACCCGCACCCGATCAAGAGAACGATCTCGCGAGCGCCATTCTCCTCCACCGAGTGGCGCCGCCCCGGCTCCAGCTCCGGCCCCGGCTCCTGTGATTATCAACAACCGTATCTATAACGAGCACTCATCCGATGATGAGGACGGTCGCCACATGCAGGTCTACCACACCCGCCACCGATCTCACTCCCGTGGCCCCTCGTCTCATTCCCGGTCGCCTTCGTCCTCTTACATGACCCGGGATGATTACGAGGCAGAACGGGCTCTGCAAGAGCTTGCAGAACTAAGAATATCTCAGGCTCGCGAGAAAGAAGAACGCCGGGTGCAAAAGGAGTTCCGAGAGGAGGCCGAGCTCCAGCGCGCCAAGCGCGACCTCGAAGATATCCGAATCCGTGAGGCTCGTGCTGCCGAAGAACAGCGCTTCAAAACCAAAATCGAGTTAGAAAAGTACCAAGAAGAGATACGTAAGGAAGACCTGTCCAAGAAGCGAGAAAAGGAGGCTGCCGATGCTGTGGAGCGCTATAAGAGGAAGGAACATGAACGACTTGCGCAAGAGAAGAGGGAGAAGGAGGAACGTGAAAAGGAGTTCCAGAAGAGGCTCAAGGAAGAACGTCAAAAGGAAATGGACAAGCTGGCCAAGGAAAAAAAGGAGAAAGAGGAACGTGAAAAGGAGTATCAGAGACGCCTACAGGAGGACCTGCGCAAATCAGGTCTCGACGACAAGGCCATTGCTGCCATCCTTAAGAAGGAGAAGATCCCGGAGCCACCGAGGCAAAGACCAAACCAACACGACAACGCGCTCGTTGCGGGGAGTCGCCCAACCTACACGCGTATGGCTCGGAAGCATTTGTCAATTGAAACATTGAGAACATATCAGGTCGAATGGGAGCTTGATGTTGTAAGCAGAATAAGAACGCAAGTGTCCCCTATTGCATCTGCTGACTTGCCTAAGGATCCCGATTATGTGCTGATCAGACGGTGGGTCCCGGAATGGGAGCAGGACACCCTTTGGAGGCATACAAGGTCGATTCGTGAGAAGCGTTCATCTAAGCTTATACTCGAGATCGAGGACAAAAAGTCGCACCGCCACGAACCAGAGTTCGAATGGGTCAGGAAGAAGAGTGAGCGCAAGAGAAGCAAATCGCCCGCACTGCTCATGTATCTTGCAGGGGCGAAACCAGCATAATTGAGGGGAGCGAGATACGGTTCGGCTTCGAGGTCAACACGCCGATCTTGTCATCGCATCGAAAGCGACAGCGTTGTTTGTGTATAGGATAGGATCTCATATCCACACATATAGCTGGCAGCGCTTACATGGGTGGCCATGTAGATGCACGGGATGATTGACACCCAAACAAGCATGCTCAGATTGGAGGGAAGCGGGGTTTTGGGGGGGGGGGGGGGTATGTATATAGCATCAGCTACTAGTACAAGCCGTTTTTGCAGGGAATTGGGCTTTTTTCAATGGATCAAGGTGGGATTGAATGTTGGACTGCACAGTCGCTACGGCTCCGCTGTTGTTGTCAAGTTCGAGGACCAAGTACGTTCAGCTCTTCTCATCAGTTCTTCGTACACAGTCCAGGCCAAAGCTGAACTCATTGCTTTTCTGCTCATGCGAAGCGCAACCCCATCCATGAGTGACCGTACACCTTCTTCCGAAATCATCTTGTGGCAAGCCTGATACATGTTCCTAAAAACGGCCGGCTGCAATTGAATCCTCGTTTTGATAGCGTCGAAGGGATTCGAGACAACCGAGCACGCAGCACCTGCCACGATAGCAGAGCTGAAATTGACCAGCGTTGCATGTGACGTTGTAATGGCGATGGGGCGATTGGAGCTGTGACCGTTCTTCTGAGACGACAGACTACTGAGCTGCTTCTTGAGCAGCTCGTAGAATGATACATACATGCCCGCATATGGCGCATCACGAACGGCGGTGGCACCGAAGCCAGCGAAGAAGCCTCGCAGACCATTCCTTCTGTAGATATCGGAGGAAGCGTCGAGCAAGGATTTGTAGGAGTACAAGTTAGATTCATAGCGAACCTTGATGACGGTCAAAGGCATGAGGACAAAGCCGGCAAACGTCCTGGCGACGGCGCCGGCGACGAGGTTAGCCGATGGGGTTAGCGTCGGCAGTGAAGAGGAGTGTGCTCCTCTGTTACCGGCGGCTTGACTCAACAAGCGCGAGTGGACGACATGCTGGCGGATGGAGTTGAGGCATGTGAAGTAGAGGGCCGATCCGAAGCCGGTCCTGAGGGCCGATGGGATTGTGCCGCGCCAGAGCGTCTGGATCTTATTGGGAGCAGCGGCAACCTCCCCGAGATACGACGTAAGGGACCGGTGACCAGATTGTTGGACCCGGGTCTTGAGTAGGTCAAGCGGTTGCAGCAGCACCGCCGATGCAACACCGGAGCCCAGTCCAGCAACAAAATGCCGAGCTAGAAAGGGGGGCGAACGGGTCAGCGCAGCACCGATCAAAGGTGATTATCCAGGGGAGTGCCAAAGGGTGACGTGGAGTCTGCGCTGAAAACATGCGTGTGATCCAATAATAACTGTTTGTGTTCTTCGCTTACATGATTTCGTGCGGCCCGAGATCGTCTGTTGAGACATGGGGATATGCGCGAGAACTGGTGTCGTCGTATCTCTAAGACGGGGAGATAATACTAGGCGGTTAGCGGTGTAATATGTGTGAGAGGCGGCGGCGAGCTTGTTTCATTTGCGAAAAAGAGTAGTAGAAGCAAAAGCCATTGCGTCACGAATCGAATTTTCTGTGGATGTACAGAAAGCTCAAGGAGCTGTGATGATATTGAAGGCAGAATATGAACGAGAAGATGGTCACAAGTCGTGATGACTTTTCATGAGCGGCTGGCAGGATAGAAAGATATCTACCAAGGTAGGAACGGCAATCGTCGAGGCAGGTCGGTGCTTCTTACTCGCTAGCCGCTTCAGGAAGCGCTTAGTAGAAGGTCAGGGAGCCGTCATCGGTCTAATGACGGATATATACATAATAATGTCCGTGGGTCCGGGTCTTTCCGGTTACCAAGGGCATGCAGTCAGCCTCCGGCGAGATCGGTGTTCCTGGCCTAGTTTTCGACTTTTGTATACACAGCACTGGAGTAACATGGACCTGTGACTGTAATCGGTGAATCCCTCGAGAATATGACGCCCTCGCCTGTCCGTTGATCTCTGAATCGAGCGCTGCTAGAAAGACAATGCTCACTGCTTGGGATAGCCGTCGACCAGCGTGTTGTCGAATCTTCATCTCTTAGAAACGAGTTGCCGCTGAGAGGCCTCGTCTCCCGTCTTCCCCGCCCCCTTCTCCCCTTCCCCCCCCCCCCCCCCCCCCCCCCCCCCCCTCCTCCCCCGCCCCGCACCGCCCCCCCCTGACTCCCCCCCACCCGCCCCCCCCACCCCCCCCCCGCCCCCCCCCCCCCCCCCACACCCCCCGGCAGCCTTCGTAAGCCCCAGATAGCAATATCGCGACCTGCAGCACCTCCAGCAGCACGTACCTACTCAAGACTCTTTGGCCCCTGTCGCCTTGAAGTCGCCGATGACCGATTCAAGGCGTCCAGACAACAGCCGGTGTCTTTTGACTATGTCGACCCATTCAGACTGTTTCGTTACCTCGTACTCGTCCCCTAATGTTGCCAATAGTATTCCAAAATCGCCTCCGAGCCTGCCCAAACTTCCCGAACAATACAAAACCTGAGTGAGAATACTGTCCCTTGCTGCTTGGTCTTTCACAACTGGAAGGTATTTTGTCAAGGTTTCGAGAAGCATCTCCACAAGATGAAGCGGGAATGTTGATAGTGTTGATGGCAGGGGTTTGAAAGGATTCTCGTTGTCGTTTGTGTTGCCGATCTGGTATCCGCTTCCGGGAAATATGCTCTTGAACATAGAGACAACGCTAAAGCTCTGCTCGCGAAAGATCTCAACATAGCGTTTGAGATACTTTTCTGTCTGCTGCCCACCTGACCAGGACTGGTGATTGGCTCTTTGTTGCCTCTGCCTCTCATCATCAGCTAGCTCACGAAGGGGCTGTAAAGCCCCTAGTGTAGCGTCCAAGGTGGCTACGCGGCAACAGAGAAAGAGCAGCGAAAGGGTATGTTCCTGGGAGCCACGGCTCGTGGTACTCATGGAAGACAGGTCCGGAAGCACCCTTCTGAGCCAGCTGACAGTCCGCAGAGATGCAGCCAGCTTGAGTCCAGGAGATTTGAGAGCAGCGATGAGGTCAGCCGTCATCTTCACGATGGCTTCGTCAGCTTGGTGGGAAACCAGGTCGACAAGCGGTGAAAATGAATACAAGCCGTGAAGTCTCCGAATATGAGCATTGAGATCGAGGGCGGATGCGTAGTTAGCAGGAACGGTGTTGATTGCGGAAGTGAGAAGGGTAGGAAGTTCTAGCACATCGACAAGACGCTCGACGTTGCGCAATAGCAGTAACGCGCGTTTTCTTTCGGCCAAGTCCTCATTGTCCCTAGATTTACTATAGGCGGCGGAAAAACGTAAAGCCTCTGATTCAAGCTTAGGGATGGCATTCCGTAGGTCCGTCGTGTCGCCGACAAGAGTGGGCAGGGCGCGGGTCAGGCTAGTGTGATTTGAGGCCGAGTCGATGATAGACTTGTGAGAGCGCTTTGAGACGCTTTGAAGCGAGAGGAGAAGGGACTGAGATGTCTGGGCCAGGGATTGAGGCTCAGTCGAGGCTAGTGCCGCCAGACTCTGATCAGCGAGATGGGACAGATATGCCAGCTTCATTGACCTCGATGTCGGGTTGAGTTGCGTATTGACGTCGGCATCGTGATTCGTGGACTGCCGAATATCAAGCAGATCAAGGAGAATGTCAGCCATGTTGGCGAGAAGTTCGCAATTGAAGGTTGCCGTTGGTAAGTGCTTTAGGTAGGTGTCGTTGTCGGTAAAGCAAGTAGCAAATAAAAGGCCTTAATTCTAGGAACAAGTGGCAGCACCTGTAGGACCTACCCCCCTACGACGGATCACCCCCAACGACGGATCAAAATTTCCCATCTAAATTCACAATATTTTACTTATTAAAACTTTATATTTAGCTAAAAATAATAGTATATTAAAAATAATAATACTTATTACTAAGTATTTAATTTTTATAATAAAAATAAATTTAAGTTTTTAATTTATTATTTAATAATTAATTATAATAATTTATTTTTAAGAAATATTAAATTTTTTTTAAAAACTTATTGAAGATTATATAAATATATATTTTTATTATATAATTTTAATACATTAATTTATTATAATTAAAATCTATATAAGTAAAAATATTTAGAAGTGAATATGAATAATCTAATACTAATTAAGTTTTTTATATATTATAATATATTATTTTTATTAATTAAAAAAGTATTTTAAATTAAAATATTAAAAAAATAAATAAATAATAAACATAATAATATAAAAAGTAATTTTATAATTAATATAAATATTTGAAATAATGAGATTTTAAAAAATAGTATTTTTAATGAGAAAGTCTGATCTACTATTGAGGGTGATCCGTCGTAGGGGGGTAGTAGGTAGGTCTTAGGCTTCCTAAACTGAGGTAAGGCATTACGGGTCGCGCTGTATGCACTTAAGCAAGAAATAACCAAACCTGAGGATTGTGACTGGCTACTGGGGTCTTGGCTCGTTCGGCAAATTACCCCGTCTGCCAGATTGTGAGTACATCTGGAATATCATACCCAGGTGAATGGTCGAGGGCGCAGGAACGGTCGAGCCTCCCAGACAATCGGTATTTGGTGTCCGACTTCGTTCCTAGGCAGGTAAGGTTTGAAATCTGGGCCTGTTCACCTTCTTCCGCACCATCTTACAGCACCGCCACACGCAAGTATCCCATATCCATGCGCACCAGGCGTGTGATGCCATCACAGGGTGGGTGGGCAGCTAGTTCTGGCCCCAGTGTCCTACGACCCTGACCACAGCGCAGCTGATACGCAGCCATTGAGTGACGCAAGGAAAAGCTCTGGCCGTGGGCGGAATGGCCTCTACAACAACCGCCTGAAAAACACTGTACTCAGTAACCTCTGGGAGCCGGCCCGCCCCACCTCGGTGCCCAGTGCCCGACTAAGGCACGGGCACCTCACAAAGTCATATTGCACCTGCCAGGCGGCCAGGTGCTACAAGTCTCCAAGGGTCCTCCTCCATCAAGCTTAGCTCCCCCCAACAATCCGTCAGCTCCCCGCGCGCCGACCCCTACCTTTCCTCGCCTGCCTCATACCCACGCGAGACCTCGGGCCGTTCGCTTTATGCTCACGTTTGTTCCTCTTGCACCGACCCCTACAACATCTGACAAACTACTGACGGCCTGACCTGGTGACAGAGCCTTCCCCTAGAAGAACACTTTGAAAAGGAAGACATTCCCAACGTTCAGTCACGCAAGCAAGCTGCGCCGCCCATCTTCGATACCTTCCAGAGTGGACTCCCATCTTCTGTCACTCCCCAATCGAAGCAACTTCCAAGACCCTTGACGGCAGAAGCGGACAACCGAACTCCAGTCGAGACATCAAAACGGAGGATGAAAGACCCCTTTTTCCTTGAGCCGCTGCCATGGCTCGTAAAGGCGACGCAGCCTTTCGCTGACTTTTTCTCACTACCGACACTGCCAATCCACGTCCATGAAGTCTTCGCCTCGGCCCTCTTCTACTCGGTCATTTATTACCCTCTGTCTCCTTTGCTGTCGCGATTGATAGTTGGCCGCAAATATCTCGATCTCCCCCGCAAGAGACGCATAAACTGGGATGCCCACGTCGTCTCTCTTGTCCAGAGCCTCCTCGTCAACGGCTTGGCCCTCTGGGTTATGTTCGTTGATGAGGAGCGCAGTAGGATGGATTGGCAAGCTCGTATGTGGGGCTACACAGGTGCTGCTGGTATGATTCAGGGCCTTGCTGCTGGCTACTTTCTCTGGGATTTGGTTGTCACGAGCTTCAACATGGATGTCTTTGGATTCGGCACCTTGGCTCATGCCGTCAGCGCCCTCTTCGTATTCTCTCTTGGCTTCGTAAGTCCGCCTCTGGCAAAATGTCCCCGCGTCTTCCTCGCTAATCTCTAATTCAACAAGCGACCTTTTCTTAACTACTACGGCTGCACCTTCATCCTATGGGAGCTATCAACGCCCTTCCTTAACATTCACTGGTTTTTTGACAAGCTAGGAATGACCGGGTCCCGCGCGCAACTCTATAACGGCCTCATGCTCTTGTTCACTTTCTTCTCCTGCCGCCTAGTATACGGAACGTACCAATCGGTCAAGGTCTTTTCGGATATATACGCTGCAATTAACGCCCACCCCATCCTGCCCAAGGAAATCTCTCCGGAAACGGGTGCAGTGCTCGCCCCGGCTGGTGTAATGAGGTTTGCGACGGCAACGTCGACGGTGCCAACGTGGCTGGCCGTAACCTACCTGATGAGCAACATAACCCTCAACAGCCTAAACTTCTACTGGTTCGTCATGATGATTCGTGCTGTTCGGAAGAGATTCCAGCCAGCAAAGTCGACAGACAAGCAAGCTCTGAACGAGCCCTCTTCTACCAAGGCCACCGCCTTGTCTACTGGGACTCAATCTCGTCGGCGTAAGGCATAGCGCGATTGAGGAGATGGGGCATCTGTATGTAGCCCAATTCCTAGGAATATTTCCTAGCAGTGATAGGGTGTGGTCCAGGAAAAGCTGGAAAATAATGGCACTGGGCGGAACGGGCGACTGTATCAATACATTAGAGGATGGTGTTCCATTTTGAATTTCGGTGTCTTACGAATTGCTATTTTACGTAATCGATAGACGTGCAAGTCGGTTGACTTATGTTAAGACGCTACCACAGCACAAGAGATGGTGTCTTTCTCTTGTCTCCTTTCGAGTCCCATTTGAGTGCGTCCCGTCTCTTATTTGACTTTGCCAGACGCTCAGGAGCCGAGGTGATCAGGGCGATGCGTTTACCAATCACAGTTTGCTCACAAATTCCAAGGTTAAGATCATGGCAATAGTATTAAGTACATCTATGTACGTTGACTGGTGTGACGGTAGTAAGCACACATGGCACCTATGCTATGCAGGGCGTGTCCAGAAAAGGGAAAACATGGTCAGTTGACTCGCTCGCTCCGATCCGGAAGATGAGGCCATCAAGGACGGAAATGAATGTGCAGTGTCAAACCGAATACTTAAAAACCGAAGGGGTTGTTGGGAGCTAGGCATTTCGGTTAGCAAGATCCTGAAGGGGCCCCGTATATAATCAACATGTGTGTACTGACTTGCTTGAGAGAGATTGGCCCGCCGGCCTGTAGCCTGCGGCATCAACTTCTTCGCCTCTCCCGTAACACCGAATCGAACCGGCGGAGGAGGTCCTGTTTTTTGAGGCTGCAAAGGCTGCACCGGTGCTTGAAGAGATCCGGCACCGCCCACATTGTTGAAGGCTCCCATGCCGGTTTGCTGCGGCTGGAAGCCCGGCATGCCGGTTCTTTGCGGCTCCATAGCAGGGGGTAGGAATGAGTTGACGCTTCCAGTGGGTTGCGCATTGAAACCCTGCAGCTGGCTAAATTGACCAGGGAAGCCAGTAGGTTGCGCCTGCATGGGGGAGAACTGATTGTGCCTTTGAGGATCCGCGAAAGGGCTTTGAGCAGGCGCACCTGTCATCATGGGCTGCTGCATCGACTGCATGAATTGTCCTCCAGTCTGCTGCATCCCTGAGTTGAAGCCCATCACACCCGGTACTGGTTGCTGCTGAGGCACGGGATAGGCATTCATATGCTGCTGTGGCATATGTTGCTGCATGGTGTATTGCTGCTGCAAACGTGCTTGATTCATGTCGTTTAAGCTCTGCCCCGGTGGTGCCACCTGAGTCTGGAAAGTTTGGGGGGATACGCCAGTCATTTGAGGCATCAATGGCGGTGGCGCAAAGGCGCTCGGCTGAGCAGATTGAGGTGCCGACAATGGTCTCGACGGCGGGGGAGGCATCAGCGAGCTAGTGGTCGCCATGGACGGTGGTGGAGCCGGCCTTTGCCTTTGCGTAGCTTGCTGGGATGTCTGCAAGCCTGTAGAGTTCGGCCTAATAGTATCAAAAAATGATGGCGTAGCTCCCGTGGGTTGAGGCACCTGCACCGGGGCTGGTGGTTGAATGACGACCGGGCTCTGTGCCGTCGGTTGGACTGTCCGTTGCGGCTCCAGAGGCTTCGCCAGCAGTGATAAGTCTTGCATTGAGCCAGTGAGAGCAGGCACCTGCTGGGGCGGATTTTGTTGTTCCGACAGTTGTGTTACAGCCTGGGTAGGAGCTGCGGCAGGACGAGGGGGCTCTTGTGGTTGCTTGGCGGGCTTCACATCCCATGCGTCGTCGTCAAAACCACTGGTCGTTTTGGCTGTAGCGTGAGTTGTTGAAGTAGAGGCAGGCGACTTGGACTCGGCGTCTTCGCTCGAGCCAGTCCCCTTTGCAGCAAATGCTTTTGGGTCCACGACATCACTCGTCTGGACTGCGGGTGCCGGCCTGCCTTTTCTGGTGTTGTTCCGTAGAGCTCCGCCAGGACCAGAGAAGAGACCGCCAGAAGCCCCGTCGCCCTCTCCATTTGCCTTGTCGACGCCGTTCTTCACTCGGCCAAACTTCTGGTCCAATGTGCGCATGACTTTCAGTATGTCTCCTTCGCGAAGACCCAAATTACGAAGCACCGAGGCGTCAACGTCTGGGAGTACACTTTCGTCCATCGAATCCTTGGCGAACGCCTGTGCGTATCGCTCACACAAGCCAACAGCAACATCGCAAGTGAGGAAGAACTGGAACCAATCGTACTCGGGCTTCTGCGGTTGTCCAACTGAGGCACCTATTCCGGCAGGAGGCGAGATTCTGGCTTGTGAGGCCCTGGCTTTCTTTACATTCGATAGTGGCTTGTCTTCGTCCAAGGAAATACCCGTAGCGCGTTCGACGTATTCAAGGTCCTCAACCGACATTTTTGCGACGGGAACTGCAATCTTCACGCCATTCATCTTATGCAGATTAATCTTGCCGTCCTTGAGACCTAGGAATTGCGCGTCGACGCTGAACGATTTCGATCGATCCGTCCACGTCCGCACTTTGGCGGGATCCGGCTCTGTGACAAGTTATTAGTAAAAAGTGCACGGCAGATCTTGAGACTGACGGTCATTACATACTAGACTTTCCAGACCGGCCCTGACCGCCGCCTTCGCCACGACCGTTTTCGCGTTTGCTCCGCTGCCCATAGTTATTACCATTTTCTCTTGCCATAAGACTACTGCCTCGCTTTGGTAGAGGCATTCCTGGCCCTACCTGCTGTGAGCTGTCCCTCTGAGCGGCTTTGACAGCCTCCTTTGTCAACCTGATCTCTTCCAAGCGGTTCTGTTCGACAGTTGATTTCGCCGCGTTCAATCCGGTGTTGCTAGGGGGCGGGGCGATGGAGCCTGTAACTTCGATGTAACTACTTGGGACGACGCCCTCCTTGCCATTTTTAACACGCCGAACCTGCCACCATTCTTCGCTCTTGGTATCGTCGATAACGATGACGTCGTCGCCAACGGCGACAGTAACCTCGTCGTCACCTTGGGCCATGAAGTCGTATAGCACTTGACCTTTCTTTTGGGCCTTTCCCGAGCCGGCCAGAATAACTTCTCGAAGTCCCTCAGCTCTAACAGCACCAGCAAGTTCGCCTAGAGCGCCCACAATCTCTTCAGCTGTGTCTTTGGCTCCAGCATGAAAATCCACGCTCTTGCTCGGCCTGACAAGCTCCAAGAACACGTGCTTTCCCTCACGAGAGTAGTGGGTCATCTTCTCTGCTGTCCACTCTTGAGAGGGACCATCCTGCGCACGCTCTGGGGCAATCAATATGTTCCCAGTTGCAAGATTGATTCCTAAGGTAGTGGGCATCTTTTTCCGCTTGCCCATCAAGGATACCATCTCATTGATATTGTACATGTGAAACCCACCAGGCGCACGATAGGGTGGTTCTTCGATTTCGGGAGACTGGTCGTACAGTCGGGTGTCTATCGATCTTTGGGATTGAATGCGCGCGGGTGCGGGTGCAGATGCGGTCTGCGATATGGGACGGGCAGGCAGGGCCGGGCTTCTGACTAGCTCCTCATCCGATGGCTCTGATGCTGGGGACCGCGGAGACATTGGGGGAGTTCGAGTTCGTGGTGGAGGGACAGAACGACCCGCCATCACACCTGCGAGAGCCGCCGCGGGATCGTTGTCAATGGAGCTGTTGGGTGTATATCCAGGCTCCGGCCTCTCCGGGTAGCTTTCTGTACCCGTGGAAGCAGAAATTGTGCGAGTTGGCAACACTGGAGGCGGCGAAGGTTGAACCACAGGATCTTCCACTTCGCCAAGTTCAATGTAATTGGCCGGTACGAAGCCATACTCGTCATCTAGACCAACCAGGATCCAGTCAGGGTCTGACGTGTCGTAGACGTCAAGGACAGCGTCTTCAGGGAAAGAAAGTTCCTCGTCTGTTTGCCTAGTGTATTCAAACAAGGCGCGCGCCTTTGCGACAGGTTGTGCCTGAGGTGTAGTTAGGGTCAAATTCAAAATGCAGCATGAAGTCTCGGCCAGAGCCGTTCTGGGTGCGCCTACCTCTTCTACGTAATTATTCGGAACAAGACCTTCGGGTTCTTCTTCGTCATCGGCACTGGCCTTCTTCTTCGCTTTCCACCAATCATCCTCGGCGTTCTTTTGGAGCACGTAGAGAATATCTCCGTCGTTGATGGCCAGCTCACCCTCGGCCTGGGGCATGTAGTCATAGACGGCCTTGTAAACTCCTAAGAAACCCATTTTGACGGGGCCTCGTGAGCTTCTGGGCACGGAGAACGATCGCGTAGGCGTTTATATGCGGGGAAAACCGCGGATCATGAGAAAGAATCGTAGGGATCTAAGTGGGTGGCTGAGGGTGCCGTCGTTTCTGACTCGGGAATAGTATAGGGAGTATTCGCTGCTCGTTGCCGGCGTGCCCGCGGATGGGCAAATGTTGAAAACTCGCAGGGATCGGGAGATCGGGTGTTGAAGGGTTCCTGGAAGCACAGTGGGTTAGATCGACTTCAGGGCCGCCAAACCGACAGAAATCAACCGTTTAAAAGCGTGGCCGCCGGATCAGTAAAATATGTCGAGCACAGTGAAGCGGACAGGTAATGTGGTTGGATGCCAGATGCCATAGACTAGCCAGGTAACGAGGAGTTGCGAGGTGTTTAGAGCAGAGGAGGGTAGGCAAGTGCGGATGGCGTGGACGGGATAGAGACAGCGCGGCACGATGTTCATGTGATATGTTCTAGACACAACTTACAAGTCATGGGGTATTAGCAGTTGAGTACACACTCGGCAATAGTGTCCGGTATCGCGATCGCCTCAGCTCGTGGGTTCGTGAGTGCTGATGGTGGTCGATGTTGAGTGGAGATGAATTGGCGGCAACTGCGGCCGGGACGATTTGGCTGGCAGCTTGTGCAGTACCGCGATAATTGAGCGATGATGTACTTTACTGCGGGAGGCAGGATGGTGGTTGGAGGATTAGACTGCGTAAAGACGTGACGACGGAAAGCAGATGGTGGAATGGGAGATGGAGACGTGAATATCGTAGCGGGTGCTAAAGTAGTTGCGGTTATCCCTAAAGCATTATTATTGCCTTATGCGATGGTGGTGGAGGTGTCGTGGCCGCGATGGTGCACTGGGAATCGGAAGAGCTGAGCTGGGCTTGGAGCCGGTACGCTTAGTGAGAGTGACCCGGAGTGGAGAAAGATGACTGCGCGCTGGTGCTGAGGTAGGTAAGGTACCTTAAGGTAAGCTTGAAAGATAAGGTAAGCAGGCGATATCGGGTGGGGGCCTCCGCTATCCGTCACTGCCGCAGTCATCAGAAACCTGTGAGGTAAGTAAGGTAAGGTACGCATACCTTACTGTATGTGCTGTTACCCCCATGCCCTGAGGACTCGAAAACACGGGTAGGTGCATAGGTGCGTGCATGTGTCATCCCTGCCTCGCTTCATCGTAGAAAAGAAGAAAAGACTTTCTCCCGTACTATTCGTTCCCCGCAGCCCGATGTAATAATATCTCACATTACCTCAGCCGCCTTTCTTTACTTGGTCCAGTTGATATTGCAAGGTAAAAAATGCATAGCCAGGTACAATACCGTCTCAAAAGTCTGGTCACAGCATTAGGATTACACCCAATTTCTCTGCACCAGACCCATCTTTACACACACCTTTTTGCTAGAGTATTCTGAAAATAAGAAGTAATTAAACCACTTATACTCTCAATTTGGAGACTGCTTTTAACAAGTTTAATGACGTGTTTTTTTATTTGATTTAGAGGTGAATTGGGATTGTTGGTCATCAAGGGTTTGGTGGGGAGGCCTTAACGCTGTGACCAGACTTTTGACCCGGCGTTGTACCTACCTCAGCCTCAAGTGCATCTCATGCTTGTAGCCCAAGCGCTCAGCATGGGACCATTGTCACAGAGAGCGGTTCGTGAGTTGGACGTCTGTCCAGTGACCATGTCAGACGGGCCGTTCTGATTCATGCGCAGCCAGACCACTTTGTCACGCTGTCGACAAAATACAATACCACATGGACGCGCAGATACATGCATTCCGAAGATCACGGAACACTCTGTAGCATGGAGCCTCTTCCAGCTCATCGGGGTTGAACAAGCGCCAGGCCGCTTTATACTGCATATCTGAATGGATTCATGAACAGAGACGTCTCATATCCAGGTATCTCAACGCATTGGCCAATGCTTTCCCTTAAACTTGTCTCCGATCTGCAATCCGCCATGTCTGAGTGAGATTCTTTTCCCCTTCCTTTTCACCATGCCAGCCCGACTCGCTAGCTCACTGGCTGCTCCCTGTCCGACCCCGGCTGAACACCCCGGGGAACAGTTTGGGATCTCGTCCCGACGTGTGACCGTCAGTTGACCACGATGCTTCTCCCGAAGGTGCGAGACTGGCAGGAGAAGCAACTACCTCTTCCTCAAACACTGCTGAGCTGTTGGTTCCTCTCACTGCGGCTGTCTGCTTGCTACGTCCGCTACCTGTGGCAATACCAGCACCCACGCTGGCTGGCTCGCGTTGTACCGCTGGTTGGTGCCCACCGATAATGCTTTGGGCGATACTCTGTTGATCAGCCGTGACAGCCGAGTCAGGGAATTCTTTGGAACCGTAGGTGATGTATTTGTGAAGCCTATCATTGGTAAGTATGTTCCTGAATTGTAGGCAGAGTTCTGCCGCCAAGATGCTTACATGTCGTGTTCCTCTCTGAGAGTCTGGTATCTGAATTCTTCCCTGCGATCCGGCACATTAGTTTTCACCATGGCGTTGCCTGCCTTGCCCGGAAGCTTGAAACTTGGGCCAAGCCACTGCCCCTTGATCGCACTTTCAAAACCGCTCTGCTTAACAGAATTCTTTGCTAGTTCACACATGTCTACAGGGCTCAGCTTGTAGATCTGAGCGGCTACGGCGTACTCCTCCATCAGAGGCTCCTTAGTAAAAGCGAACTGAAGCGGGTCGTCTGTCGAGAGTGAGACGTTTAGACCCCGGCGGAAGTACTGGTAAAACGGGTTTCTTTCGTAGGCAAGGAACAGTGCATTGTTACTCAGCGGCGACATGGCGATGCCAATCTGTTCGAGATAGAAAATGTATTGCAAGAGCGGAACCTTGCGTAACAGAAGACCATGGCTGATGCTATGGCAACATAGTAAAGCCACGGCCAGATGCTCGCTATCACCAGCTTCACCACAGTGTGGTCGCAGCACAAACGTGTTGAAACCCCGACGTTGTCGCAGAGCGTTGAGCGATGACATGTTGGAGAACAGATAGTAAAGCCAGTAACTGTAGGGAGGGTTTTGTTTCGAGTCCCAAACCTTGGGTACTGGGAACTTCTTGAACAGGCGCCGCTCAACTTTGCTTTCGTCGTCGACACTGTCGAACCCAATCACCCTCTGCAGAAAGACGTGCAGCTTCGGGTGGCTCGAGGGATCTCTTGAGACCTCGAACAGGGGCTCAAAAACATTCTTGACCACCTGTTCGAAAGTGTCCATGAGCCCGCTGGCCTTGTACACATCGTACAAGCGTGGGATCTGAATGAGCCATCGAACATTGTGGGAGAACAGCTTATTGTCGACCACCCAGGCGGCAAGCTTGTCCCATTCGTCGAGGGACTTGCCGTATATGGAAATGCGCCATTCAACCATTTGGTATTTGCTCGATTCAAGATCAGCAATGACCTCCTTGGTAATCTCTGCCAAATAGCGGCCATTGATGAAGTTGTCCGTCTTGAGGAAAATTGTTCGTAGCCGTGATTCGCCGATCGGGTTATACTTCAGATTAAACTTGTCAAATCTGTGGAACGAATCTGTGTGCGCCTTTTGATAGGTATTAGTTACGACGTTCAGGACGCACGAAGAGGAATACACGCTTCGGAGCAAGAACATACATGCATGTCTAAGGTGTCAATGGAAAGGTCATATGCGGTGAGATTGATGCTCTGGAACACCTCTGCTAGGGTTAGATGCCGATCATCTCGGAAAAGCACAACCTCGTCAGGGCACTTCTTCATCTTGCTCTTGATAAAACGCAGGAGATGTTTCTGGTTCATGCAGGCAGAGTGGTGAACGTGAGTATCAACCTTGCGCACGTTGTAAAAGTCTCTGTGGGGGACCTTTTTGCTGTCCGCCGTCTCCTGGTACTCGTTGAGGAGGGCGTAAAGATTGAATTTGCCTTCGAGATATTGAAGCCGACGGAAAGCGAAACTCTTGCTTGGACCATCAGAGGAAATACTAAGAATCTGATCCAGGTCCATATAGAACTCTCGAATGGTAGGAACCCGAATGAGGGGGTCTCCTCTAGTCTCGGCCTCTGCGTCGTCGAAGACTTGGTAGACGCCGCTATCGTCCAGCTTGAACGTCATCTTGTCCGCTGAGGGGACCGGAAGCAAGTCTTGCATGTCGAAGTCTTCTCCAATGTCTTGGCCAGGCTTCCGCTTCTTCGATGTGGGCTTGGTCTCTGATTCATGTGGCCGACGGCCTGCATGGTCACCTGCTACTGTTGCAGATGATGGGAACACCTTGCTGCCATTCAAGCTGTTGGTATTGCTGGTGATGTGCTCGGAAGAAGCCACAGCCCTTGCGTGCTCGGCTCCCCAGGCTGGTTGGGGAGGGGGCGGGTATATCGACCAAGAAGGATCATCCCTAGGATTGTCGTTAGGTCCTTGAAGAGAAAGCCCAATGTATCTCTCTCTTAGGTCCATGATGCTCTGAATATTCTTGGAGATGGCACTGAGCTCGGCCGTGATGTGCGGGTCGGTATCTGAAAAGGCAGCCACACCAAGAGCAGCAGGGTGGTTCGTGGCGCCAACGCTCGAGTCAAGTTCATGGCCCAGGCCCAGGTTAGGGATTTCATTGTTCAGAAGTCTGTGGTCGGCTTCCTGGAAAGTATGGCTCCGAGGGTGTGAGAAGTCCTCTGCGCTGGCAAGATGCTGCTGCGTCGGTTCCGGCAGTATCATTTCTTCATGCGCCTGAGCTTTCCCTCTCACTTGAGCCTGTCCTTTGCCCAGGGGAGATGAGTCCATCGAATGGTCGAGATTTCGAGGGCCGGCAGAAACATCACGATGCTCAGAGCCGACAATGACAGGGCTGCCGTGGGGGGTGGCATGGCCCAGAGGCCATACACCACTCCCCGTCTTCAGCTGGCCAACTTGGCTCCGCTGGTAGAACAGTTTGGCGTCAGTCTGGCTCATTTGGCGGTCCGCAACAGGATCGTAAAAGGCGGTCCTTGTGGGGAGGTCGCGGGGGAGCATGCCGTCTTGCAAGCTTGCTCCCTCTTGGCCCTGGCCATGGGATGACAAAGGGTTTGCGTCTGACACGGTTGCATCGCCTGGGATTTGGTCTTCTGACCCCTCAGAGCTACTGTCACCTCGGGAGTCCAGGGCGCACAATTCGCCATCGGAATCGGTTTCGCCGTTGTGAAGCGAGAATACGGCACCTCTTTTGGGGGAGGTCAAGGCGGACGTTGAGTCTTTTTGGTTGAGCAAGGCTTGTGTCTGATTGAAGTGAACTGTCAGCACGAAGCACGAAACAGGGAGCCACGAAAATATAAGCTGGGGGGTGGGAGAAGAACTTGGTTTTCGAAATGGAATGAGGGGTAGCTTACCAGCGTCAATCAAAACCACCACGTCTTTTTGGGGGAAGAGTCTTCGAAAAGTACATACCGGCCATATCGAGAAGCTTTTTGAGCCCTATCGTGGAGTGTCGTAGAGCCCTTCCCCCAAGGAAAGAGAAACGAAAAAAGGGGTCTAGTAACCTTCTGGAACCGACGGCAGAATTATTGCGATAAGACTCATAGCCATTTGCTAAGGTGCCTTATCGCAGTATCGGGTAGTCGCATGCACTAAGGTAAGGTACCTTACCTTACTTGGGGTGGCTACCTACCTTCAGGACCACAAGATAACGGATAAGACGAGGGGTAAGGTAAGGTAGCGGTTGGCTCCGACCTCCGACCCGCGACCGCGGCGGGGTCCTAAACTGGCACAACAGCCCAACCTTCGGTACATATCTACCTTATGTGCGGAATAGGTAGGACCTAGGTATCTAAATAAGTATCTTACCCACCCTATCTTTGTACCTAAGTTGAGCAGCGATTGCTTGCATAGGTTGGGCAGCATTTAACGCATAATTCGTGCGGCTTACCACATCAGTCGGAGATTAAGGTACAGCCATAGGTTACTATCGAGAGGTCCAATCGGGAGGTCCACACATTAACCGTGCCCGTTCGACAGACAAATACCTAATGTATAACTCAACAAAACCGTTGTCTGAAAATCTGTAAAAGACCCCTTGACGTTGTACCAGATACGTGAGTCAATTGGGTTTCCAACTAAACTTCCTACCCTATTTTGCACCGACGTCCTTCTGTATTCTAGAAGTCTTGGCTCTGGAGTCCAGCGAGTATAGTCCTCCAGCTCCAAACACAATGAATGCCCCGACCAACGTTCCGACGGCCAGGCGATTGCCAAAAAGCCATATGCTTAGGAGTAAACTTACTAGCTTGCGAATATTCAAGACGATGGTGACGGTTAATGCTGAGGACACGGCCGCAAGTAAGTTCACACCCCGGATGCATGCGTACTGGGTAACGACGTTTGTCACGAGGTATGCAAGTTGGCTCGGAATGTGGAGTTCGAAAAGCCCGTCTCCAACATCTCCGCTGAGGCCAAGGCCGGGGAGATGCGCCAGCATCGGCAGTGACAGAGGCGGACTATTTGCCAGCTTGCGGAATTGGCGGATCAACGATGGCGCAAACGGGAGGAAGAGTGGCAGTGACAGTAGGTGTGAATAGAAGAGGTTCTCTCGCCAATGAGGGCCATACTGTTTGTACGTTTCTTCAGTGTAGAGACCCATGATGGCGGAGAGAACCTGCGCCACAAACAATACAACGAGGCCGGTCCCAAAAGCGGGCTTGCTACTCCCCTCGGTTGTCTTTGAAGCGATCTGATGGGATATTAGAGCTAGAGAGACCGTCGGGTTTTGAGCATCATTTGCTTACCTTGGACTGTGAATCCGACCAAGCTGCGGTAATCACACCGAATGTCAGGAGAATGACAGCCACGATCTGTATACGCGAGTACTTTTTGCCATAGAGAGACCCAGCAACCATGGTTGTAATGCTTCCGCCAGACCGGAGAATGATGTGCACAGGGACGGAGATATCATAGCTGAAGGCATGGTTGTTCAACACATTGATGCTGAAGAACAGGACGATGTTGATGACCCAGCGTCGTAGAGGGACCTTGTTCTGCTGCAAGAAGAACGGTGGTCTCGTTCGGTCGAATTGGGAAAAGTATCCGGTGACAGCCACAAAGAGGAATTGGACAAAAGTCAAGAGGGTTCCTGCACACAAGCTTGTTAGAAGTTATTTGCATATTGCGGGAGCTATAGTGACATACCGCTTGCTGATTCGACCCTGGAGAAAGAGGATATTGTTAGCAAAAGAAAACAGATAGAGATTTAGGCGGCAGCGCCGGAGAGAAGCAGTGTTTACTTGATGATGGCCTCCAGGGCATACACCTAAACGCAGCGCGGTCAGCATATGTGCAGCTTCGATACAGTCGAGGTACAGGTCTACCAACATTGGAGCAGCAGCCGCCAAAGATCAGGCCAAGCATGACACCAACAGCGATCCATTGAGAAAAAAGACTGGCGACGATACGACCAGCCGTCTGCATGGATTCCTCACTAGAAGCGTGTCCATTCATGACCGAATCGTTGGCCGCCTGGTTGATCGTCTTCTCGTCATTGTGAACCCGGGCAGGAAAATCCATCTTCTCCAAGGGGGGCGATGAGATGCCTTTCGGCTGTCCGCGTTTTCGAGTGGTCGCCGGAGAGGACATTGAGGCTGTTTGGAGCCTGCATACGGATAAGGTACCTTAGTAAAGGGGACAAGACTTTCGGGTTGGGGTTCAAAGTATAATTGCAAAGGTGCGGCGTGCAGCGTGTCCGAGACACTAAGGTACTGTGTAGGACGCTGGTATGGCTGGGAAGCGGCACGCAAGGACGGGCCAGGGCAAGGCAAGGGTGGCCAATAGCAGTGGCGCAGCCGACCTGAGCTGGGTCGTGTCGGGACTCCGCTCACACCCGCAGGGACCAAGTCTATATCTCTTGTATGTCCGGGGCGGTTGGAGTCTTGGAGATTGTCTCGAGCTCGGGCGGTTGGAGTATCGGGCTAGGCACCTCAGGTATTTCATTACCTGTCTCTAACCTCAAGACACTTTGATGTGACGGGAGCTAGGTCCCTTAAACCACATACGCAGCCCTGGAGGTTTCCCATGTTGGCTCATTGATGGGGTAGTAGGTAGAGGTAGATCAGGTACCAAGGCACTACAGCACCTTAGGTAGATTCTGGTTCAACGTTGAGGCGCGGTCCTGAGGTGCACGAAGCACTCCTGTTTTGCTCTCAGAGTTGGTTATCTCGGAGCCAAAGCTGCAAGTCGTCTGTTACAGAGTTCTATCCATACAATAGGTACCTACTTACCTTAGGATCAGGTCCATGGCCCCAGGCCAACCAAACCAAGGTGCCCCTCTCGTTCTACTGGCTCGCTACCCACCCAATGGTTGATGGCCCCCGCCTAGCGTGAGAGGTCCTCGGAAGACTCCGTACCTTGCTCGGTGCATCCGTCTCGGGCCCCGTCTCGGACCAGGGACTTGAACCTCGCGGTCCCCCGAGAACCAATCTGAGCTATTTACAGAGGCACCTTAGCAGTGGAACTGGGGAGGAATCATGCTAACCGATTGACTGGCTGATATGACGAAACAACTCAGAGAATCCCTTGCTAGATACCCAAGGTAAGGTGCCTCAGATAAGAAAGCTGAGAAGCCCCGAATCTCGTCACATAGCGGGACTCAAGCCAAGCCCGATACCAATCTGGATAAATTATATCTCGGTGTCAGATCGCTATTTTACCTTATCAAGTCTTATGCTGCACGTGCCGTACTACAGTGGTCAAAATGCAAGAGCAACCTTACTTGCCTCTTTAGTAAGGTATGGCAATAACCTAAGGTACATAAAATAGGTATACACTATGCGGACCTCACATACTCTATCTCGTATACTTGGGTTTACCATCACACATCATTCGTTGATATCAAAACAGGCAAGAATCTCGTTACCTCCAATTCTACTATAGATATCATGGAGGCATATGTTACCGTGACGAGGTGACACGGCGGTCGGGTCCATCTACCCCTTGGTGCTTCTTCCATTTCTTCCACACGTTCCGCATCTGTCTTCTCCCCAAGCACTTCCCAATGACCCTAAGTACCCAGCAAACTCCTTCCTGCCGGTCGAGTTGACCTCCCAGTTCTAAAGTCTGGCAAAAACGGCGGTTATACCACGAGGCCACAGCCGCAACGAAAATCCCAGACACCACCTCCTATTGACCAAATTCCCCAGGTTGTAGGAGAAGATGTCCACGACCCACGCTGATTGGCTGCGTTGCCGTGCTTCGTCCGAATATGCGTGTCTTCGCTCGGCATAGCCCTCAAGTGCTCTGGTTATCCGTCGTGCTTATAGTGCAGAAAAGACAAATAGCTGCCATAGAGTTGGTCCGCGTTAGCCTACTCAACCTCCACGTTCCGGGAATGAGAGGGGGGTTCTCTTGCTGCCAAGGACTTACGTTGTTCGTTGCCGCAATCGCAATGCTATCCTCAAATGGATGCCAACTCATGTGGAGGATCTTCTTGTTGAAGTCGATCTGGTCGGCATCAGTTTCCTTGCGCATTCTTTGGCCCTGACCACCAGCTCCGGCAGCAGGACTACCAGCACGGGAACCTCCCTTCTTGCCACCGTTAGTCGCGGTTGGGCTGGTAGATGAATTGATGGGCGTCGGTACGCCAACCTTCTTAGCCTTGAAGGCAGACTTGTCTGCCTGCAGCACCACCTCGACTTCCTTATCGGGGTCTGACGGATAGATCATGAAATTGTTGTTGTAGCTCCCGGTCATGACGTTCTTGGCATCTCCTGAGAAGACAACCTCAAACTTGTCAAAGATGCTGTCATTCTCATATGTGTCGCATAGCCGAGGACGCAGGTGTTCGTGGATGGGAATCGTCTTGACAGGCTGCCGCTCCATATTGATATCCCAAATTTTCACCGTCAGGTAATCACGAGAGAGAATGTAACGACCATCATAGGAGAACCGCACGTCTGAGATCGAGGAAATGATTTCCGAGAAAAACGACCTTGATGACGGATCTTCCTCTTGCTCGAAGACTAAATCGATTACAACATGTTAGTATAGAGAAGACCATGTCGAGAAAAGACGGAGCAGGGCAGTACGTACGCTTGGCGTGGCTATCACAGAGAGCACTCTGGCGCATATCGGCAAGCTTGATGGTGCCCTTGGAGCTTGCGTACATGAACCAATTGCAGCTCAGTGGATGGAATTCGGCAGCGGTGATAACCTCAGTCAGCTCCTCCATATTTGCCGGTTTGATGTCGACAATGTTGAAGCTCTGGTCCTGGATATTCAGGTTCCAGAGGTTGATGCGGAGGTCATCAGAACTGATAAATGTCTCACCATCACTGTTGACGGATATACTATTGATGTGATAGGCGTGGGCATTCGCGTACGTTCGGCGGGGTACGGCGGCAACGACAGTGTCATGGTGGGTGAGGCGGGGCATGATGAGGTCTTCAGCGTTCTTGAAGCGATGTGCAGGCGACTGCTTCGGAGCACCACCGCCGCCGACGAGGTTCGCGGGGGTTAAGTCATCGGACAGATTATTCTCAGCGACGACCTTCAGCGACTTTTCGAACACCTTCCACAGCTTGATCGTCTTGTCGTTTGTTGACAGCAGATAGTGGGATGCGTTCTGTCGACGACACCACTTAATCTTATTAATCTTTTCCTCGATTTCCAAGGACTTCAGATAGTCGAACTCGGGTTCGTGGGACTGGAATTCGGTATGGAACTTGTACTCGCACGTCTTTTTCTGCTCAGGGACATCAGCAAGAGGCCAAGAACGGAGAACCGCCCTCCGTCTGGTTGCCAGCTCGGCTCACCGTTTCGTTCCGTTCGAACAATACGACCCGGCCGCCTTTGTCTCCCGTCGCTAGGTAGTTGCCCGTGTGATCGAACTCGACCGTCGAGATGATATCGGCTAAGTGAAAATGTCAGATCCACAGACAGGACATTGGACAGGATTTGGCATAGCGTCGGTAGTAGCGGCCACCAGACAAGGGACTTTGAGCTGCAGTTTACCTTCGGTGATGTCCTCCACATCGCCCTTGTCTCCAAAGCACCTATTGTGTCGCGTAAGCACTTATCCCAGCAAGGGCGGGGCAGTCGAGATGAGGATGAAAAGGAAGACATAAGGCAAAAAAGCAAAGAAGCAAAAGAACGTACTGGGTGAACTTCCACGTGGGGGAGTTCGTGTCACTGTCCACCATGTTTGCAAACCAGTCCTGTACGGGCTAAGAAATGGACTCGTAGATGTTGGTATGGGCGAACAGAAGAGGCGAGGTGGCGGGGTATGTCGAAGACGAACCAAGGGGCGAGCTCTAGTCGTGCGGTAAGAGGGAGACTGTCTCTCAGCGCTGGGTAGATGTGGACAAGGCTGAAATGAGCCACGCGAGAGTCGCAGCTGGATTGCGAAGAACGTGGTGTGGTGTTGAGAGTAACTGCGATGATGTGCGCAGCAGGGGTTAAAACACGCAGGTAAAGCGGAGGAGAGCGAGGGGCAGTTGCGGGCGAAGAGCAGCCAAGGGCTTTCTATCTCGTTGGATTGAGGCTGAGATAGATGCAGCGGGTCGTAGTTGGCGAGGGGTTGAGAAGGGAGGCCCGTAGCTCGAAGGCTCTGCGGTAAGGAAGGGTGGGTGCGCGGTGTATGGCGTATGCGGGAGTGAGAATGTCTCTGGGGTTTTCTAGAAAGGCGTATCCGTAAGATGCAGGAACGGCTGAGTGTCTCTCTGGTGACAGCGAGGACCAGAAGTCGGTTGGTCGAGGGTTTGCACGTTTGTTCGTTTGGAGGGGGTATCGCGGCGCAGGTAGCGGGTAGGCGAGAGCAGGGTGCAGAGTGCGCAAGGTTGAGGTTTGGGTGAGAAGGTAAGGCAAGGTAGGTAGGTGGAGTGGTGGAGTGGTTATGGATGGGATAGAAAGAGGTGACGCTAGGAGAGGGTCGATGGATGTTGCGTGGGCTTGCTTTGCTACCAGATTTGCTTAGGTACTAGGTGCTGTCCCGGCGGGCTGACTGACCGTCCACTGTCTAAAGGTGTAACTGGTGGCAAGGTAGGAATAGGTACTGCCCTCCACTGCGCTGGAATATTGCGCTCCGGCTTGAAAGTTGGGGCTGCCCTGAAAACGGGCGGGATGGGCAGGACGGGAATGGGAACGACAACGGGACACCTGAGTCAACCTGGAATTCGGTGGACAGGTGTCGACGGGAGCGGGCAGAGCAAACCCAGTTGGCAAAATTGGGCTCGCCCAAGTTGAGCCTACCTGGGTAAGTACCTACAATAGGTGCCTACCTACATTGTACAGCACCATCTACCTTAGGACCCTATAGGTGTTATGGTGCTGAATTGACCGGTCGATGGATCTACCTGCGCTAGATCCACAGCTCATAGCTAGTTCCACTTATGTAAGTTTGATCAAAAATCTTAACACAGCTTGCACGGGTTCCTTTCTAGGTTATGTTTTGTTGTTCAAAAATTCGACAACAGCAGGGTTCGAACCTGCGCATCCGAAGATAATAGATATAAAACAGTGAAGGATTCAAGTCTATCGCCTTGGACCACTCGGCCATGTTGCCTCATCATATTTGACCTCATATAACTTCATCATTCTCATGATCTTGAGGCGCGGTTGGGAATATCCACCCACAGCCTACCCCACCTGAGTCCCACTGAGAATGGTGAACAAGCTTGAAGCTGCATACCTGCCTACCTGCCTACCTTATCCGTACCTGGGCAATGAGTGCCAACTACATTTCAGCAGACTGATCTTCAATGTGTCAAGTTCTGCTGTTTTCAGTTTTCAGTTTCCGCCAGACCGATGCTCAGAAAGATGTCATACACAAAGCATACGAGAAACGAGAAGACAATCACTTCCAGATATCTAGCTTTACGTATCATACTTTTTCCGAGTATGGCGGAATCTGCAAGCCGACCCATCCAAAGCGCGCACACATGAACGGGGCTGACATGTGCAGCCACAGAGTCCGGCTGAATGGAGAGACTGACGAAGAGATGTCAACTGTTTCCGGGTCAGTTCGCTTGAGCGTCGTACGTCTCTGCCTATCTGATGTAGGTACCGTTGAAATGGCAAGAAGGTAAGGTACTTCAGCTTAGGTAGGTACGAATACTACCTCAGGTACTTTACGTAGGTAGGTAAGGTAACCTGGCACGCCAACGATACAAGAAGCCAGGACAGGCATGAACCTCGGTTTCTATGTCCTGACGTTCATCCCCCCTCGCGCTTGCTCGATCAAATTACCGACCGTCTTACTGATTCCACATTGCCATTCTAACCCCCCGAGCACTTACTACATCCTTTTCTTCACTGCTCTTAACATGGACCAGCAGGATGACCGCGAAGCCACCTCCAGGCCTAAGGGCAAGGGCAAAGAAGCTTCTACGTCCCCATCCTCCGCTATCCAAACGGCGCCCAATAATGGCAGGGTTCAACATCAGCAAGGTGACGGAGATGCACCGTCCACTTCCTCATTCGCATCCCGCCTCACGGCGTCTGCGGCCAGCCTTTCTCGCGCCGCGCTGACAGCTCGACCTGCTACCGAAACCATCCTCAACGAAATTTTGAGGGTAAAACTATCACCTGGAACCAGCTCCAGCTCCGCCCAGGGCTCTGGAAGCCACCGAGATACTGCTACTTATCGTAGCCCAAGCAGCGTGAACCCCGGCACTCTCATGACCTTTAATTCGTCGCCGGGTATATCCATCGCTGGCGGACAGCATTACGAAGACTTCATGGCTGCTCGTGCAGTCTGCAAGGACCCGTCCCAGTTGAGGAGGCCAGCTGAGGATCAGGGAAGCAACTCTGGAACGGTCTTCATCAGCGAACCCAGCGAGCACAACTCTCTGCCGTCAGGCACCAAGTCCGATTGCCAGGAACAAGAGGCCAGAGACGGCCTAGACGTGGGCGAACTGCTCAATTCTCTAGATTCGGACGGACATGACGCAACCGACAACGACTTGCAGACGTTCATATCCCCGCAAGAAGAGGCATCGCTAAGAAGGGCACTCTTCGACGATAGCCATGGGAGACCTGTCGCCAATTGGGCCCGTCTTCTCGACTTCCAGCCCCATTTCCTCGAAGGAGACAACATCACCGAATTAGTGCAGCATTTTGGCGTAGACGATGTGCTGCAGGCCAGAGCCATGTGGATGGAGAGTTGGAACGACGTGCTTACAGGCTACACCGACGAAGTTTGGGGTGACTTCGGGTCCCTCGCCCGAGAAGCGCACCAAGAAATTGAAGAGGCGTGCGAGCATGGGACAGCAGCTACGACAGACCCCAGCGGGATGCAGGCGCTCCAACGACTCAGACAGATTCTGGCCCATGTTCGAGGCCACTAATCGACGCGACGGAGGTGCTACGGAGGTGCTGTGCACTGCTGGCTCTGTGCGTCAAGACTGGGGGCCCAACGGATTGAGGGCCAGGGTTGCTCTGCCAACTGTCCCTCGCCCAATGACATCATGCGATTGCAACTCTTCGGCGTCTTCGCTGCGCCCTTATCCTGCGAAGCCCAGCCACCTCACCCACCCTTGCGGTCCTTAGCCTGGCTAACCCGAGAGAATTCGTATGCATGCAACCCACCTCACCGAAAGAACGTCGGCGGGGTTAGACAGCTCACATTACTTTCTTCTGCACGAGCACATGCGCTACCGGACAGCGGTTTAAACGCAGGGACGAGAGACTGAGCGAAAGCCTTGGCCGTGGCTGGCACCCAGCAGATTGACAGCAGGCAGGCCTTGACGCTCTTGTAATCATATTAGAGCAGCTTGTGAGCGACATACAAGTACCACCGTTTTAGCTCTTTAGCTCATTCTCCCCTCTTTCCACCACCACAAACCAAACCTGATCCGACTTCGTGGCCAGCCTGGAGGACAACTGCCCGATCCCATCCGAAACGGACAGCTAGCAATTCATTCCTATGTAGAGGAGGCACCGGCTTCTCTTGTACAAAAGTCAGCAACAGGCACTCTTCCGCTCCGGACGAATAAGGCGAGTGATCAGGAACGATACGTCAACAACGGTTTGCTTGGACCTGGCCCATTATATCCCCGGAATCATGAAGTTACCCCGATGGACAACAAGGCTGGCAATACTGCTAGCAACAGACACGGCTTTCGCGCTGAGCGCGACTCCGACTTTGACCGGCACCAAGACTATGGTCCCCACCGCCGCTTACGTTCTAGGCGGTGCACCGTTACAACTATTTAGGCGTCAAGATTGCCCGGCTGGTACATCCCAATGCTCAGGTTCCCTCGGGACGACGTTTGATGGAGTTTGTTGCGCCACAGGACAGGTGTGCGAACTCGACGACAATAACCGGCCAGCTTGCTGTCCCTCTGGGTATGGATGAACTTCATTTCGCAAGAGTAGTATAGCTATGCGTGTCTTATGAAAAAAGCCAGGCTAATTTGGAATCGCACAATCCAGAGCTGTTTGTACCGGCACCGCTCCAACGACGGCGCCGACTGCCACGGCAGTGTCGTATGTCCCCAATGCTTACTTCCCATTCCCCTACATAGCAACGTCACTCGACCGTGGCGAGTGCTCCTCGGCCCTTAGCCAATGTTCCCGGAACTACCAGAGTTGTGTCACTCAGCTGGACGGCAACGCGGGCTTCGGCGTTACCGTAGTCATTCCCGGCGGAGGTGGAACTACCGTCGCCGCCACCCGTCCGGACGTCGGAACATCGGCGACACCGATTTGTTCCAGTCTTAGCTCTCAAGCCTGCTACGGCTTGTCCAACGACCAGTGCGCGCAATCGACAACAGTGAACGGCGTCGTTATCAATGCTGCTGCACGGCCAACAGCGGCCTGCGTGGCTAGACTCGCAGCGGGATTAGGAATCGCTGTCTTCGGTGCCATGCGATGAATAGCAAATTAGACGATTATAAATGCAAGCATTTGAATCACCATGGGAATCTAGTCGCTTACGCAGACATAACGACATGTAGAATGTCTATTCCCTCGTGTTTTTTTTTTTCCGGGAATACTAGATGCGTGGATGAGATGTATAGGGTATGCTTCGACAAGCTGTCGTAGGTCATCTGGCTGTTTAGACCGGCGCCCCGGCTTTTCTATTCATGTTCGTCTCTATCATCCAGTACCTGGAGTCCAACACAGTGCCTGATGCTTCGCGACGCGGAGTCGGCCCAAGCCTCGAGGATGTCGCTGAGGATTTCAAGCATGCGGCTGAAGAAAAAGAGACTAACGAAGGAGAAACCGGCGATCACGGCAAAACAGATCCAGTACATCCTGGGCGTGTAGTGTTCCACCAGACCGGGTATCTCTACGGAGAAATAACTAGTCATGAAGGTTATGGGAAGGAAGAATACGCTCAGCTTGGCTAGTACAGTAGCGCTCCTGCTGAGGCGGGCAGTTGCTTGCGAATCCCTTTGGGCCGTAAGGTTGAAGTACTTTTCAGCAACATCGTAAGCAAACAACCAATACACTCGGCTTAGGAATGCTCCTCGGAAACTTACCGTGCCTGAAAGCGCGCTCTGCTCGTCGAGATACTCCTGGATCGTGTTGAGCATCAATAGCTGCAGTCTGTCTCCAAGGCGTTCGAAGCGGCTCCTTGCTGATGATGAGATGTTCACCTCGCTAGAAATGCTGCTCGATAACACTGGGTGTCCGCACTGACCCTCGCGATAGGCATCCAGTGACCGAGGCCAGCAGATGCGCTTGATGAGGCTTTTATAACCCTCAAACAGGTGTTGGAGCTGGCTGAGCTCCTTTCTCAATGTGTGCAATGATCGGATTATTTCCCCTGTTTTGACCTTGCTTCTTCGGCTCTGTCTCGTCGGTCAGTCTTGTGCTCATGTTGAGGCGTCGGTGACCTACCGAGCTCGTCAATATTTGCTCGCTCTACGGCACAAAGTGGTATCAGCAGGTGTCCATCCTGAATTGAAAGCACATGGTCGAGTTGGTTCTTATGACTGACCAGTCGACCAAGCTCTTGCTTGGAAATTCGAAGAACGGGTAGAGCCGATGAATAATCTTCAAACAGGTAGTAGAAAAGATTGCTTGAGCCCTCGCGGGCAGTGCCGCCGTCGAGCTCTGAGCGAGGCAATGCTTGCCTGACCGGCTTCAGTGAAAGGAGCCTTTGTTCGAAATCTTCCACCCCATGCTTGGACAGTTGACACAATACGCTGATCGTGTTAGACCTCATGTTGACAAGCTCTGCTTTGGACCATTCATCGTCATCGGGTTGTTCTGACGATGGCGTCTCGTGAAAGGATACCACGACGGCTGCATCGGTAATGAGCATAGCACACACCCCGTACAAACATTCGGCAACATACAGTCAGAACAGAGTGCAAGCCATGACCAATGCCTCGGTGGCAGCAGACTTCGGCTCTGTTCGGCATCATTAGACGGAGGCCGGGTATGCAACCAGTTGGCACCGATGCAAAGAACTAGTCCGTATTAGTTGCTCATATCAGTACTATGGATGGAGCTGGCCGAAACTCACAGTGTTTCCCTTGGTCAATAGAGGTGTAGTTGACTGTCTCCTTCACTATTTGATAAATCTTGAGCTCTTCCAGTACTTGCGCCTGTGTCTGTCCTGGTGGCGGGGGTCCGAGGCCGTCAGAAGACGATCCCTTCTCGACATCTCCCTGTGGTGAAGTCTGGGTAACGCTGGCCTGCCTGACAGAAAACAAGACTGGAGCCGTCATGATGGCAAGCAGTCTCTTGGAAAAACCATACTGGGCGCCGACGCGCTCCACGGCTGTTTTTTGCGTACTCGGAGACCAGATATTGATCCAGCGTACCATTCCCTCTTTGGGTTTTCGGTCGAGGAGACTAAAATCATCAGAGCTTAGATTGAAGGCGATGAAGGCCTCATGGAAATCGAATTCAACGATAAAATTAAGGGCTCTGTCATTGGCAGCCTCAGATTTGACCCGAGTATACACGGCCTCATCGTCCAGGTTCTCGAATTTGTCGTGTAAGGCGGCAGCATCGGTCGGTATCGCCATGACTCCGAGCTAGAAAGATGTTGTACAAATCTGTGTCAGTTAGACATACTAGATGGCGAAAACTGTAAACGATGCTGCGGCCTATGATGATATAGGGAGCTGACGGCATCGGCCAGCAGAGTGATGTACCTCAGCTCTAAGTCTCCGCTGACCCATGCACGAGAGGGTGGCAGAGGGCAAACCACTCACGCCTGCTGCCTCATTTGATTCGCTGTGAAGGATCCGCAATGTTGGTGGGCGGCGGCTACATGCGCCGGCGCCTATTCAAGGTCGCAACGATGTCCAGCCCCTTGCAAGGGTGTCGAAGGTTGCCTCAACCGCTGTTGAGGCAACCTGCCTCGCAAAAGATATGGGGTGTACGACGAAGGTTGAATAGAATCCGGCCGTCTCTATCCAAATTTGTGTTTGTTAACGGGGTAAAGAAGTAAAGAGTGACATTGTCAATGATTATCACTCATCAAGTTGCGATATTGCGTATTGCATATCTAAGGATACTCTGCAAAGCCAACTTTCTTGAGACAAATATAAGCTTGGTATGACTATACTTGTCACTTCAAGGAATAATTTTGAATAGACGGTGCTTCTTTGATACACGTTTGGATGCCAATTACTAGAATATCGACAACCACACAACAACAAATTGCGATATGTTCAGCCCCTCTCTCCGAACGAAAGTTCTCACGAATACTTCACTCGATTACTGCCGGTTCGAGGAGATCCCGCAACATGTCCATGACAGACGCACTATGTCGCCGTCCAGACCGAACTACTTCAGGGCCATCCAAGCAGACTTGAAGGAAGTTGCGGGAAACGTTCTCAGCTTCTTGAAGCCGAGCTTCGTCTTCAGCACCCAACCTAGCACACGCTGCCCCAAGATCCTCATTCCGCGCTAGAAGCAGAACAATTGCCTCAGCTCGATCAACCACCGCAGTATCGATTCCATTCAGCGCTGCACACCTGCTCCCAAAGCTCGATGTGTTCCCTCCGAAGACTAGATGGTAAAGAAAAACCACTTGGTCCTCCATCTGGCCGGCGTCGATGTCAAGACGGACCTCCATGTGGGCAAGTGATAACCCTGGTCGTTCCTGAAGATAACCACCTTCGAATATCTCATGGTAATGTGTTGTGATCATAACTTTCGGAGACTGTAAACCGAGTGTGCTGAAATGGTCAATGAGGGCAGTCATCAACCCAGCTCCATCATCAGCTGCCGTTCCTTTGCCAAATTCGTCGATGGCAATGAGTGTACGGCGGGTAGCACAATTCAGCAGAAACGCTACTTGCCTCACATCGATACCGAAGGCACTCTCCACTTGTGATACGCTTTCCCGCGTCGAGATGCGGGTTAAAATTTGGTCTGTGAGACCAATGGTGGCGCTAGTAGCGGGCACGAAGCTGCCCATGTGGGCAAGGTAAACAATGAGTGCTACCTGCTTGACATATATGCTCTTTCCCGAATGATTTGGTCCTGTAATGATCAGTGTGCTGGCGTTCATATCATTTGCTGGCGGCGTTGCCGGTCTTCTGCTTGAGTCGTCGCCAGGGCCACCTGTGAGATTGCAGTCGTTGGAGACGAATGCAGGTACTGCCAGCTCCTGAAGGGGGTGGCGCCCTTCGTAGATCGAGACAACATTGTCTTCTGTCATAGTTGGGCATGTCCAGCCATATTTTAGCGCTCCGCTCGCGAGAGCCACAAGGCAGTCGAGCTCGCCGCAAACTTCAGACACGCGACTGAGGATATCCTCATGCTCGAGGACTTTGCAGGCTAAATTGTGTAAGATATCAATCTCAAGGTCTATAGGAAGATCAGCGGGGTGGGTATCTTGCCAGTCAGTCGTGGCCACAAACCAACAATCCTGCTGTAAGTGTCACCGAAGTGATCATCTAACTCCAACATGAGGTTGTTCTTAAAGTATACGTTGCCGTTCGCGGTAAATCTTTGCTCCCAACGGTCACTGAGCAGTCCATGACCTTCGTAGCCTGCCTTATTACCGTCGAGTAGAGGAACAACTGTGAGGAAGCCTAGTTGCGGCCAAAAAACACAGCCTGTGACAAATTTGCGAGCCCACGTCGGGATCTCCAGGGACAATGCCGTACTGACCTCATTCAAAAGGGATTCCAGCCCTTGGTATGTCTGTTTCAAGTCGTCCAGCTCAGTGTTGACGTGCAATCTCACAGCGATGCGTGAGTTTGCCTTAGTTTCCTCAAAGTCGACAACTTTCCCAATCAGGTTTATAATTGCGGTCAATATGTCCACAGAGACGACGTGCACCATCTATGTGATCAAGTTAGCTCGCAATTCGTGAGATGAGTTGATCCATGGCCGACCTTTTGAATGATGACAAGAGCATTTGCATTTCTCAATTGAAGTATAGTGTCTCTGAGCTGTAGCACATGGAGTGAAAACCGAGTTAGAGTCCACCAAACACCACGCTCAATTGAAGCGCTACCACCTGGAGACTCTGCTGCGCCTCTTTGTAACTGAGACAGAGGTTTCTTGATGTCCATGACCTTCCGCAATGCTTTGGATATGCTTGCAAGTGCCTCTTCATTTCCAGGCTGCAAGAATACCGCTATGGTCTCTTGCCTCTCCCGAATCATGTCGATATTGACTAGTGGACGCAAGAAAAGTTGTCTAAGCCTTGCCTTTCCCTGGGGTGTGCCGGCGAGCGGATGAAAGATACCGAATAGAGAGAGGCTCTCTTTCGATCCGGAAGCTGCTTTTCCCATGCCTGATATTAGGTTGCTTGGGTGTAGCTCGGACTGGAATACCTGGAGGGAGGATAGTGTATCAGCGTTCACGAACATGAAGTCCGCTAGAGCAAACATCTGAAGCGACGCCTTGCAAGTTCTCTCTGCATCTTCTGATGCTCTTTCTATATTCTGAAGTCGCATAGTCTCGCATAGTACGGCACCGGCACAGCCAATCTAGACTTTATTAGAATCAGGGGAAACAAGGATAATATCCTCCATCACAGCTTACCGATACAACGCTGTCTAGATCGATAAAAGACCCGAGACACATACTCTTGAAATCCTGGCACTCCTCCCGAGGACCATGTAAGCCGTGTTTTGAGAAGCTGAAGCTTGCAGCCGTCATCAAGGCATGTTTTGATGTGGCGATCGTTAGATTCGCTAACCTGTCTATGGAAGTGGCGAGACTGAATTCGGTCGAACTGAGGAGTCGAAGAATGTAGTTTTCCCTTCCAGATCCTTTGGAAACAATTGGTCAGCGCCCAGAATCACTGCTCTTGGTTTAAGAAATGACCCACCTTGGTCCACGATACGCTGGTGCTTCTCGAAGAACTGAAGCACCACGTCTGGTATCTTCAGAGGTAACATTACCGTCGTTGGTTGGATATGAAGCATGAGCATCTCGACAAACTGCAACGACTCGGTGCAGGACATGTCCTGTAGAAGGAACAGACTATTCTCGTCTGCATTGTGATAGGCACATCCAAGGATACCTTTCGCTTGAACAGCAATGGCCATAATGACCCCGTTCCTCGGCTCGGCTTGAGCTGTGGCTTCTCCACCAAGGAGTGACGGATCTTCGTATTCGCCGGCTGACGGTGGTACAGGGCTGTTACCATTGCCGGATCCAAATCCAGCAGGGATCGAGGGCAAGAAATGATTGTCGACAGGCAGTATCAATCGACTTGAGAGACCCATGGATTGTTTTCGGTATCCTGTATCTTCCATATATCGCACTGCAGATGCCGACGTCTTCTCCAGTGTTGGTTGTCGGGCGCCATGAGGGCTCGAGAAGATGGGCGAGGTGTGGTGTGCACCCACGACACTGGAAGTACCTCGTGATCCTCGAGACGTAGGAGCGTGAAATCCCCTCGAGCGACTAGGTGTATTCGAGGTCCCTCTTGAGCTACCGCCCGAGCCAATCCTTGATGTGCCTCGCGGGCCGCCTCGCGAACCGCCTCTGGGGCTCCCCCTGCGAGGCCGACCATGCCAGGGACCAGACGTGACGTTGCCTCGTCCCAACATTGTTGGGCGCGGGAGTGGTGAATACAATGACCAAAGCCCTTGGGGTTAACGCAATTAGGGAAAACAGTAAGTAATGTGTGTCTCATGGGATCAAGAGAGGCCCGGCAAACCAAACGTTATGTATTGTACGAAGGATTTGGAAAACGAGATGTGGAGAAGCCCTAAAAAGTCAAAACTATACATAGTAAAAGGAGGCAATTGCGACTAACGTTATGCAAGGCAGGTATTTGCTCACGGGTGGTTCAGAGAACTCGCGGCTCCCAGAGCCAGGCACCTCACATCATGCTCGGGCCGTACCTACCTCGGAAACGCTTGATACTTGCCAGCCTTCCTTCCCTAAATCCAATCATTTTGTATTAAGGCAAGTAAGTACATGCATGTTGGCATGGCCCGAATTTAGCGAGTGAAGTTGAGAGAGCTCTCAAGACTAAGCTTCAGGAGGAGCACCTGCCTTTTCTGCTCCTCCACATGGAATAGCTAACGTGATGAACCACGGTGGAATCAATTTTCTTTTGAAGGAGTCGAAGGGAAAGGGGGCACTTGTCTGATGTGCTCAGGAGTCAGGATCGGGCTAGAGTTTCTCTTCTCCTTTTTTTTTCCCCCTTCAATTTTTCTCTTATTAAGTATTTGGGCTGAGAGACTCACCCGATTTAAATATCTCAGTCCATAACGAAGGACATTGACCCTTCGTGATATCCAGGAATGGAAACTGCCATCACACGCCCTTGCACTGATCACATATTTCTGGCAACTCCTTGGCTATGGTGTCCGTGCGCCGCGGGCGCATTGAACTGTCTATATCACTTGGCATCGCTCGCCATCCGTAACTCATCCCGACGTGGCCGCGGTGTCAGCCTTGTCCCCAGCCTTCACCCAGTTGGTAAAGTCTCGCTTCTGTTTCCGAATATCGGCAAAGCCAGGCCGACTCTCGAGAATGCGGAATGGGTTGCCAGTATAGTCCTTTTCCACCTCCCCGCTGCCCGTCATGAATCCCATCTCGCCCTCTCTTTCAATCTTGCCCGCCCAAACACGCCATTCAATCGGCCGGAGGTTTGGTGCGCCCAAAACCAAGCCAAGGACGACGATTAGAGTCGCCACAGCCGTCTCAATGTTGATATCTGCCGGTAGCGAAGTGGCGGCTGGCGAGGCAGACGTTGCCAGGGGCGAGGCAGCTCGGAAAGATTGCAGTGCGGAGTGCTCTTGGGCCGAGTAGCAGCTGTTTGTATCAAGCAGGTGTTAGGCACTTTTGTGGCTCGTTTGAGGGAGTGGAAGACAGAGATGGGGGTGAGGCGGATCGGGAGAGGAAAGACTTACGCATGGCCGAGGAGGAGAAGGCCAACGGCCGTGATTGAGCGTGAGATCCAGGTCATGACGTGAAAGCGTATTTGATGCGAGCCCGTTGGTGCACGATCTGTCAGCTGCCCCAGAGCCAACACTTGCTTTGGTTGAATTGTTAAATATTGAAGTGGAAGAAGAAAGCTCTCGTCGAGACTGGCCCAGGCTTAGCATGCTCCAGAGCTTAGTAGGTGAGGTGGGTGGGTGGTGTGCAGGATGAGGTAGCTGAGATGGATTCAACGCCGAAGTCACTGGCGCTGAGCAGTTACTGGTGCCTCGTTAGAATGGTCGGGTGTCACTTTTGTGGGGAAATAAGGTGGCTAAGGTACCCAGCTACCTACCTTACCTTAGTATACACACTGGGCTCCCGATAACGTACTAAGAAATTGCTGTACCTGGCTTAGATACATAAAGGCGGAGCTAGAATACTTTCAGGGCCTTGCCGACTCCCCTGGCTGTCCGCTAATCAATGTGTCACCACAGAAGGGGACCAACCTGCCCAGCGACCACGGTCTATCGCCTGGAATTGAATTTGCCGCCATCGCCATGGCATACAACCTGATATTCACGAATGGTCCTAACCCTTTCTTCGCTTGCACGCTGCCGGCCATCTGTAGGATCGGGCCCCAAATCCGGGACATCGAAAACACAGCGTCTCAAGGCAAGGAAGGCACTCCCACCGTGGGTCTTTGCTGCTCATCACCAATTCCGCCCTGGAGAACGCTTGAATCATTGGGACGGCACTGCAAGCTGAGGAAATTAAGTAGGAACGCGGAGGTAAAGTTCTTCCTTCTGAGACAGCCTCTCACTTCGATGTCCTCGCCCTCGATGGAACAGTCCCGAGCCTTCTCTTTCTCCTCACTCTCTCTGTCTCCGTTTGCCCAAGGTCCGCCCACAATAACATGTTCATCTCCAGTCTCAACAAAACCAAACAGAAAGGAGATTTCCGCCTACGTTCTAAGATACCCAATACTCCTGACGCCCTTTCTTTTCTCGAACAATGTACAACAAGAACGGGGTGGGACTCGAACCGCTCTCTTCCCGTCTCCTCCCGCTCACTCTGGGTCTATCCAGTTGTTGAAGTGGCTGCCCTCAAGCTCCTCCACTTTCCAGCTACTTTCTGGTCCTCTCAGGATCTGAAGTTGGGGATCGTGTATGAGGTTTTCATCGAACCCAGGCAGAGTATCAAGCAGTTCCTGCCTTCCGTCGCTAAAATTGAGCCGATGCATCCATCTCGGTTCCAGCATGGGATCGCCGTACGCGTCGCCGTATGGGTGACCTCCGTGTCCCATCAGGCCCGGATCAATCATTGGATCAATGCCATCATGATGCGACATTGGACCGTAATGGCCAATGCCGTCGTACCGGTGATCCATCGACGGTGCTGCGTAGCCCATCGCTGGTGATGGCGTCTTCCTGATGAGCACGTCTTCAACGAAACCGGTGGCGTCCTGGCGCTGATGGACGCTTTGCTGGTAATACTGGCCGCCGCCAAGACCATTCTGGCTGTATGGTGCTGGGAGAGGCTTTCCCGGATTACTGTAATGGTACATGGACTGTGTCTGGACGCCAAGACCCATGGGACTCGTCTGCAATGGTGGGTAATTCTGGAAAATGGACGCTGGTGCATCGTTCCTGCCGTGTCCGGGTTTCCTGATTTGCCTGCTCCTTGAGCTCGCGCGGCTCGCACCCCATTCCATGTCATCTATGTCGCCTTGATCGGACTCTTCTTCTTCTCTCGCCTTGGGCCTCGGTTTCGACGGTGTGAACTTGTAACCTGGGTGAGCTAACTGGTGGTTTGCCCGCTCTTCCTTCGCCCATTCATTAAACTGGTCACGAACCCCTTCCGGCTCCAAGGGCCAGCCGCAACCACAAACCTGAGACACAATTTGATGGTTATTTTGTGTACAGAGACTTTTGGCAAGGTTCTGATACGCTTTGCGGTACAGCATGAAGGCGTTCATCGGTCGCTTGATCCGGCCTGGCGTCTTGCTCTCCTCGACCTCCTTCATCCGCATTTCTGCAGACCGTTGGACATAAGCCCCAATGTCCGCTACTGGGATGTGCGGTTGCTCCTTTGCTAATTCGCTGAGTGGCTTGGTAACGCTATCAACCTTCTTGGCCGACTTTGCCCTCTCCTTCTTCTTCTTCTTAGGCGTTGACTTTTCAACACGTGTTGCTCTCGCTGCGAGCGGCTTGATGGTCGACGACCCCTTGTGGATGCTAAGACCGCTGCGGGTGGTCAACACATCTGATGGCCTCGACGGCGTGGGCGGTGATGTGTCAGGGGTACTGTATGGCTGCAGGCAAGCATGTGAGTGTGTGTATCATCGTGAAAAACCGCAATGTTGCTTACTTGGTGGCTCAGATCCCCGGACATCGGGCCATATATGGAGCTGACGCTCGTATCATAACCATGGTTATACGACTGTCCAGTCTTGTTAGCAAATGCTGTATTGACACAGGAAGAGCTGGGCTTGGGACAGGGCTGCTTACCATCTGACCATCATGTGGGCGATGAGAGTATGGAGAGTGATGATCGTATTGCATGTCTTGTTGTGGACCAGGTGTACCGTATCGAGAGGGAGTTTGCATACCCCCCATATCACTCGGATGCAAGTGTTCTCGGGGGTAGGATGTGGCTCCTTCAGGGCGTATCAAGTGATGCAGTCCGTTCGGGTAGATGTCATCGTTTGAGGGAGCAGGAGACGGGGGACCGTTGTGTTCCATTCCACAAGGCTGAAAGCAGTGAGAAGGCCGTTGGAGTTGTCTGTCGTTGGTTGCTAGCCAGTGTTGGCTTACCGGGTAGCCAGAAACGGGCGAAGAAGGTGGACCGAAAGACGAAGAAGTCTAAATGGGTTCTCTCAATGCTTTCTGAATGTCAAGTGTTGCAGATTTGCTGGGGTGTCCTGCTTCTTTTCCCAACTCTTCTTGTCGTTTTATTTTTGCTTTCACTGGCAGCTGTCTGGGTACTTGTGTAAGAATAAAGTAGTTGTTGGATGATGGGCAAGTGTTGGTCTCCAATGGTAACACGAGGCCAGGTTTGGTCAGGTGACGGATGTGTATGGCAGTAGACGCAGACTTCTGAGCGAGTGGAGGCGAGAGAGAAGAAGGCAAGCAACAGCTGCGGTGTAGCAGATTATGTGAAAGAAGCTGCTGCACCCACAGATTATCTACATTCAGTAGATGTCGAGGAGCCACTGGTGGTATTGGTCAGGGGGTAGTGTGTGCATGAGAAAGAAGAAGGGTAAGCCGGGCAGGACAGATCGGATGGGGGAGTAAGTAGTAGTCTCTGGTGACCAGAGAGTGGAAGTAGGGCTACGAAGAGAAGCAGAAATACAGGTTGTTCCTGGGGGGTCTTGTCCTGGTGGCTGTTCAGGAAGTACCTGGAGTGTCTGTCTGTGCCTGTGTCTCTGATCCGTATGCCTATTGCAGACACAGCTGCAGCTGCAAGTATGCAGTGAGTTGCGATGCGTTGTTGCAGGGACCAGGGATGGCCAGGATGAATAGCGGGCGAACGAGGTTGCAAGCAGCCGAGGAGCAGGGATCGGTGGTGATCTGGAACCGTTCCCCTGGGATATGGGATGCAACCACAATGTCCGACTGATGAAGGCCTGGTGGGCTGGTCAGGGCTGGTTAGGCTTATGAGGGGTGGTGGTATGACAAGAGGCCAAGCGCAGGAAGCTCCATGAATAGCCTGTCTTCTTGCTCTTTGATGATAGGCGAGAGAGGGCGGTAGACTGCTTAGGCTCTGGAGTAATATCGGTGAGCTTTTCCCTGTCTGCTTTGAAAGTTCTTGTGGTCGTTGTTGTTGTTGTTGTTGTTCAGATGGTTGGTTGTTCGCTTCTCATTGTTACTCAGGACTTCTTCTTTCTTTCTCTTTCTCTCTTCGTCTCTGGCGCACGTTGGCTGTTCCTCTGATCCCCGCTCTTCTTATCCCAAGATAGCAATGTTGGGTGAAGGTAGTGTTGGCTCGCCTCTCTCGCGTCTCCTTGCCAGTATGGTTCCTTTCTCCTTCTTTCTTGGCCCTCCTCTGGGTGACGACCCTGGTAATGCACACGCTGGACCGGAGTGCGGCGTGTTGCAGAGCTACCGGTAGGTGGGGAGTTGAGTGTATGTATGTGCGTATATGTGTGTGTATGTATATGAGAGAGAGAGAGAGAGAGAGAGAGAGAGAGAGAGGAAGCGTGCCAGATGGATATCTGAGGGTCTGAATCCGAATCCGAATCTGAATCTCAAGCGAATAAGATATCCTGGCCGTGTTTAAAAGAACTTAGAGGCAGATGGAAAAGCCAAGGGAAGCCGGTCTTTGTCACAACGGAGAACCGATGAGAGGATACATTCATTCAACCCTTTGGAAGAGGGGAGGGGCGAGATGGGGAGTGAAAGAAAAGCGTTCGGCCGGGCTGGGTGGTTTTATGTCTACATGATACGCATGTGCATCTTGCAAGTTGGGCCTCTGCTTCTTTGGCTCTAGCCTCCCTTCTATGCCGTCGCTGGCTTCTCAGTGTCCGAAAGAGCATCTAGCTGATTGCCGCATTCGGACATGGGGTTGAAAGCGGCGCCGGGCGGCCGTACACCAGCCTTACCAAGCCTTTACCACTAAATGACAACCCATCCGTTGGTCCTGCTGTTCTGTTTGGCCGTCTTCGGCTAAAGCGAGCGAGATAGCCCCCGCCCCTGCTGGTGCCGGGGGACACTGGTGTCCGGTATCTTGGTGTTGTTGAGCCCACCTCGAGCTGGCTCACGTCGTCTCTTACCATCACAAGCCCAGGTCATTACTCGCAGGCCGTCCCCAGGTGGCCAACACGGCATCATTGCCATGCTATGCCATACCATGTTGCTGCAACATGTGGGTCCTAGTAATTGGGCATGTATACGAAACTGGCCGACGCTCGCGGGGGAGGGCGGTAAACGACACGAAATACACCGACGCAGAGGCAGAGAGGCACGACGTTGCTCGACAACAAGTAACATGGAGGGGATTTAACACAGGGCGGGCATCGCTGGGTGGGAACCCACCCCCCGGTCAATATGAAGATGCTTGCTGCCGCAATTGCACGGGCAGTGCTGCATCTGCTTCGTCTGATGTTGCTACCAGAAAATGACTGAGATGCACCGCTTCATCTTGACTGACCGCATGGTTCCCATCTTGACAGGGATTAGATTCGTGTCTCTCCTCTTCGGCCTCCATCATCTCATCCCGTCTTACCCCCACTGGTTCACGCTGATAGCCGGTTAGCTCAAGATGATCCATCTCTTGCCAAAGCTCACTGCGAGGGGACTTACCCAATCTCCAGTCTGAGCGATGTCTTGTTTACTTCTCATCCCACCCCGTGTTGTATGTACCCTTGTTTCCCCCCTTCCTTCTATTTCGTCGTGCCTATTCCCATTCATACATCATTGAGTTTCCGACCATGTTTATTCTGACAGTCCTCCCTCCTCACCTCACCCCTCCCTTCGACAAAGCCACGCCTCCCCACATGTCTGTGCACGTGTTCGTCTCTCCCTCCACGGCTGAACATGCCTGTTTCTCTCACGAAGAATCCATGATGGAAGGCAGGGCAGGAAACATGGCGCAGGAGCTCAGAATAGCAGCAAAAGAGAAGATCGAAGCAAGGGGCCATGTTATGAGAACTGTCATGTGAGGCGGACGTTGAGAGGAGAAGGAGAGTACCTATCTTGGATCGCGAGTTACCGGGACTAAAACATGCGATGCTGATACCTCATTCCTCAACGCAAGGTAGAACAGCAAAAAGCAGTGGGATGTAGAGCGGCTGGGTCTGCTAGTAGCAAAAAGAAGACGATCGGCCACGAGATACCCTGGAGCCCTGGAGGAAGAAAAGCAAGAAGCCCAAAGGATAAAGTTGGGAAGTTGGGGGGACGCACTGCCCTCCCCTGCACCAACGGAGCACGCAACACCTCATGGAGTAGGTACATGTAGGCAAGCTTGACAAGGCAGGCAAGGTACGGCAGGGAACTGGAATGTTTGTTTGCTCACTCGGCTGCCGGATGTGTTGGTGGCGTCTCTTCTGATTGGCCTTGTCCAGAAACAGAACGTGTGGCGCGCATTCCGTTTCGCTCCTTCTTTGACTCTTCCACGCCCGTCCTTCCTGCCTGGCACGGTGCGTGGGGATCGGTGGATACCCGTCTCTCTCTTGCTCGTCTCGGCGCCTTACGGTAAGGTAAAGGTAATGAATGTACCTTACCTGTTGGTGTACGTCCCCTCCTTCCCGCGGCTTATTTCGTCTCTTGCCTTGGATTGCCCATCCCAGCCAGCTGTGCAAGGTAGATGTCTCCACGTCTCTCTCGACCTTTCTCCATCCGAGGTGCCTTACTAACTCTCTCCCCTTCGAATCTCACACACACAGTCACACACACACACACACACACCCTCTCTCTCTTTCTCTCTCTCCTATCGCGGGCCATTTCCAACGTTCGTGTTGATATCCTGCATGGTTTGATATCCTCACTTTGTTCGTTCGGTTCATTACAAACACGCAGCCTCGGTACCTGTATCATCAACCGTGCCCTTGTGTCAGACCCAGGCCTCACGATTTCAGGCCAGACCAGCAGACCACAACCAGCGACCTTTTGCGCGCCTGTCCTAACCGTTCAGCTGGTAAATGAAGACCAACTTCCAACAACCCCCTCCTTCCTCGGCATCGGAACCCTGGGCTTGGTCAGTCGGTAGGCACCTCCCACCACAAAGCAATTTGGTTCTCGTTGTTTCCCATTCAAAGCCACATGAATGGGAAACAGTAGCAAATCATTCCCGCGGTGCCCAGGGTCCTCCAGACACACATGCGCACACCCATGACACCAAACTCACGCAAGAGAAATTGGCATCTGAGTCTCATCGTTACGCATCTTTTCAATGCCTTACCTTACATCACGCAACGTCCCAGGGTATCTCGCGTCTCACGCCATGACACTCCCTCTGAACATGCCTCCGCTCGGCAACTATTGTCTGGATTCTCTTGAATTCTGCCACCATGGCCTCCGGACTAGCTAGGCCATCTTAGCCTGGTGATGGTAGCCGAGGAGCGTGAGAAAACCCGGGACGCGGTTGATTCGACCTTCGGGTGCTGGGTCCAAGACGGAGGCATAGGCCATATGGGACAGATGAGAGACTCAGGTCCATAAATGTACATTACGGATAGCCCGTTGCCGTCTCCAAAGGGTGCCACCGTATGCAGTGTGCGGGAGATCCATCGTCCTCTATCAGTCAGCCTCAGACCTGACCGACCTCTCCTAGGTAGCCTCCGGCTCAGCTTCTCCATCTTCTTCGACCTTGCCCATGCTTCCGGGCGCCGCAAAAGACTCTGCCAGGTCGTCCGTCTTCCGAGCTACTCGCCCGTCATCCTGCGCTTGCGGCTTACGCCTGCAAGCTACTTGGCGCCATGTCTTCGTCCGTGCCTCTTGGCCCCAGATCTGACCCTAGAGCTGGCTCAGATAATCCCCTAGTGCGCGTCTTAGTGCCTCGTCCTGACTCTTGACGGCGGCCCCATTTCGCCTCTTTTTATTCTTCTCCACACACGCAGGCACAGGCACGCCGCACGCAGGGACGGCAGCGACAGTGGCACGGTGGTCTGGTCGGCTGCTGCATCCTGAGGCTCCATGTCGATCCGAGCGAAATGCAGAACATGAACATCCAATGGCTGGCTGACATCTACAAACTACCCAATACGCCATCTCCAAGACTCCCGCTGGCCCCCGCTCTTTGGAGTCTCGGACCTCATCTCCTGGATACCGCCGCATGCACCTGCGCATTCACTCGTTTTCCATTCATGCAAGGCACCTGTTGTTGCAGGAGCCATGCATAACTACTAGTGCACTGCAACGGCCCCCCCGGCCGGTCCTCCACTCCTAGCCAGTACCATAGAGTGGAAGTTGAGAATCTGTCACCTTTTGCCGAGACTCAAAGGTGCCTAGGCCTTGATGATATGCCGCCGCCGCAGCCATCGCCATCGCCATCACCTCCGCTATTCCCGCTAGATGGAATCCGTATTGGCGTTTACCTCAGGCCCAGGGCGACTCACTTTCAACTTTGACATCAAGTTTGCTCATGCCTTCCGTCAAGCGTGTCTCCCCAATGTATTCGTAGCCCGCTGCCGTCTCCATTCGCCCCTTCCCACCATTCCGCATAGGCATGCATGGGCACGCATATGGCAGACGTGCAGCTTGCCTCTCGTGCTCTTCTCTCGTTTGGTCAAATGAATTGTCCAGGCCTTGCCGTCGAAAGGCAGCCAGGGTTAAGGCCGATATGCAAATCCACTTTCGACTGCCTCTCCACCTTGAATTTTGACCGCCTGTGTCAAGCACGCCGTTGCTCTGCAAGCTGAGAATGACAATCTGCTATTTCGGGGTTTCACCCACGGCGGCGGCCGGATGTGGCCCGTCGTGGTCTCGTAGACATGGCCGTAAATGTGGGGGAAAGCATGCCGGTGGTCGTGTTTCCATCCTTCATCATCACCACGTCACCGAGCTCGTCTGCAATCTCAACAAACCGAGACATCCCTCGAGACCAACGAGAACGACACATCAAGGATTAAGTGTCGGTCTTCCCCGAGCAAGACATGAGCAAGCTGATGCATGGGTTGTCGCCTATTGCCCGAGCATGTCTTGAAGCTTAGACCATCGGTTCGTTGAATGATGAAGGTGCGTCCAGAGTGATTCCTCACCTTTATATTCTCGCGTCTCCGTTCCCGGCACGGTGCTAGAAGGTCATGCAGTCTAGATGGTCCTGCAACGGCTTCGAGAGGTAATCGTTGCGGCCAGCCCTCCCTACCTTGATGCAGCCAGTGGTGCTCTCAGCCAAGGCTGTCACTTTAGAGATATCCGGCGGCATCTCTAGGTCGGGACGGGCCTACGTATTAGGTACCCAGTGTGCACTTCGCTCGTGAAGCCTCATCTGGCTCTGCATAAGTACGATCAGTTTCTTGCTCCCAACACTCGTTGTCATCTCTACAGCCGTCAAGAGATGAACCTAAATAATAACTACCCAAAGCTGAGACTCCATGTCACGCGCGAAATAGCACAATTTTCCGTTTTTTCTCGCTCGCCAGTGTCAACGAACTAATTCATGTCCACGTGAGTACGTGGTTGGGAATCTTCTACTCGTAACTACCTATTCTATAAGATGTCATTGGACATATAGTATCCATACATATACAAATAATTCATGTGTATTCTGTGGGAACAAGGGTCATACCGATCCCTCCACTATGCAGAGTTCAAGACGCAGCTCCTGTACTTCTTATACAAGACTATTCCTGTGCATTGATTGATATTGCAATCCCAAGACCGCCTCGGACTTCCTGTCTCGTTTCAAAGCGCACTCGGACTTGCACCTGGAGGTTGCGACCGTCGAACCGGCTCCGCAGGCTTGATTGGGGGCGTCAAAATCTGCTGACGTGGCGATGGCGAAAGCGTTGCTACAGGCGGCAGAACAGCAGGGAGGGCAGGCGTTTTGATGCTTGGGGGTTGCGGACGGGGTATGGGGGGAGAATGCTTGGTCGGAGAGAGTCCGCCTTCGGGAGCGGGCAGTGTGAAAGATGAATGTGCTGAACCCGGGATGCCATGCTCGCGACTAATAATGGGCGTGGCCATCAGACTGGAGGCTCCATGCCTGGGCGATGAGACGTCCCGCGGAGCTGGCGTCGTCCTAGCTCGTGGTGGGCTTGCAGAGACACTGCCGTTACCGTTCGTCAAGGGCTTGTAAACACGGTCACGATGAGCTCTGCCGTCATCAGCTTCATGGTTCTCAGCGTTGGGTGTTTTTGGCTCCGGGCTGCTTTCCTTGGCCCCATTTGTCCCAAGAGCTTGAGAGTGGCCGCTCAGGAATGCAGACGCTGATGGTGCCCCTGTCTCTCGTTCAAGTTCCGATTCGTTCCGCAGCAGAATCGACCCGCCATGCCCTATACGTGAGCCATCATCTGTCATCAAAACGGCTGAGATGTTTCCCTCTGACAGCCCTGATGGGTTTAATCTGTGGCTCTCCTGAGGCGGTTGTTTTATAGGCGAGAACGATGCATCGGCTGGGCGATTAATCTTGAGCTTTATAGTCGTTTTCGGTTTTGCAGCCGCTTCTTGCTCGCGCTGCTTGCACGACTGACAGATGAAATGAAATTCAGGTTTCTCAGCTTCAGTCTCGCTGATATCGAGACACTTGCTGTGTTGCCAGACGTTGCATTTTTCGCAAGCCACACTATGAGTCCCGTCGTCGACCTGGCCGTAGACACCGCAGATGCAATCAAATATCCAGTCCTCCTCCTCGTCTTCAAGCTGTTCAAGTGCTCGCTTGTTTTTCTCTATCTCGGCTTGCAGCCGTCGCTCCGAGATACGACCCGAGCCACTGCGGTTGTCCTCTGACAGTTGTGAGAGTTCGCGTTCATGTTGTAAGCGGCGAGCTTCCCGCTCCTTCAGTCGGTTTTCTCGGGATTCCAGTCTCAGGTCCCGCTCTTTTTCGATTTTGAGCTGTTGCTGCTCTTGTTTCTTTTCTGCAGCCCGTCGAACTTGCAAAACCTTGGCATTTTCCTGAGCCTTCTCCTCTTGTTTCTGCTGCTCAGCCTTGTTCGCGATGCGGCTGGAGCGCTTCGCATTTGCCATTTTAGCCAGGTTCGATAGCTCCCGCTCTCGCTGCTGCTCTTTGCGCTTCCTCGACACCTCTTGCTTCTCCAGAATAGGAAGTAGATGCTCTTGCAATTGGTTTCGCAGGATCTTTTCGTTGTCGTCCTTGGTTTTATGGAAAGACTTAATAATCTCCTGTACATCTTCCAAGCTGACTGCAAGGCATTCCCATTTCATGCTGCCTAGGCTATTGTCCTCGGTTGTGTCAGCAACAACATCGGTCGATTCATTTGCAGACTGGTCCGCGTGGTCCGCTTCATTTGGTGCAGAGACGCGTCGTCTCTTGTTTGAGCGGGATCCGTATTTGGCAGCTTTGGGCCTCTTCTTAGGGGTGGGAGGGTTTGGCGGTTCGGTCATTCTGTAAACCCTGTTATCATCGAGAACGAAATACGTGCGGTCATCTTTATCCCAGCCGATGGGCTCTATCCGCTGTCCGGATCTGTCAGCATACTGAAGCAAAAAAAGAAGGTGATCCGAGCACTCACCCAGCTAGCCTGGTCGATGTCCTTCTGTTCCTCCATCTTCTCCCTGACACGCTCGGGGCGAGCCATGATCCATTGTGTCATTTGTTGGAGAATTTGCACCTGCTCCAGAATTAGAAAAGCTAGACGCACCGAGGTAGAGCACGCAATTACCTTAGTTAAGACATTGAAGTCCGTAAATTTCGCTGCGATTTCCTGTGTGCCAAATGGGTTCTTCTCAGGTGCCCTCGCCAAGTATTGTCTTCGTGTGTACTCGTCAAAGAGCTGGTGCCTGCGACATCTTAGCTTAGGGGAAAATGACATGCGACAAGCGACGTTGGCAAGGTTGGCTGGCGTACGTTAGACCACGGTGAGACGAAATGAACTTGAGCAGGGCGAGCCCGATATCCTGGAGTACGGGAGCATTCGGCTTCAGGCACTCGGTCTCAATATCCTAGGAGTAAGTAGTCAGCGGATGGTAGCGTCCGTGGAGCATTAAGGATTAGTGCAAAAAGCAGCATACCTCAGTATCTAGGTTGTCATCAATCTTGACCACTTTGCCAAAGAGATAGATCCACTGGCAGAGATTTGCGAATTGCCATTGATTCCGTAAGCGAAATAGCAACGAGGATTCTTCTTTCGAGCCAATTTCAGCCTCGTGCAGTGTCCTTTTACGGGGTGACACCATGGTAATGCTGGCGTCTTGCGTCGATGCGCCAAAGCAAGTCGAAGGAGAGATCGATGCAGCAAATATCTTGGGGTGAAACACTCGGGCCTGATGCCGTTCGGAAAGCTTGCTCGGGATGTCGCGGGTATCACTCAGGACTGTCGCGTCATTGATACGATGTCGTCGCGCAGTGTAGCGCCGATGAGGTGAAGCCCTTGTAGAGGCAGGTTCGGATTGAAGGGAGCAGGTCGGCCGTCGATCAATCGAGACAGGTCGTCAGGCCAAATTTTATGGATGGATTCGTCAGGCGACAACGAGGGGTTGATGTTGTAGGCCAGGAGCTGATGAAGAAGAATCAAATCGAGGTGGGAATGTGACTAGGACTGGACGCAGCGGACTTTGAATACTGGGGGCGTCATGAACTCAGCCGCATGCGTAGGCGTCGTTCAGTCTCTGAGGTAGCGAGCAAAAAGGAACGGCAAAGCAAAGCCAAAGGCACGGGAGTAAGTCGGGTGGATGCAATTAAATTACCTTACTACCTTACCTTACCCGGCGTGGATGGACAGTGGCTCCGGACGCCAGTGCTACTCGACCTTGCCTGGCCTAAAGTAGACGCGTTTGGGCCGCGGCGTATCTACCTCACCTACGGATACTGGTACGGGCGCGTGGGCGTGTAGGTGTCTGCTGGGTAGCATCGAAAACGGATCCTAGCTTGCGCGCTCCTCTGGCCGCCCAGCTGGGCATATTACCTAAGCCGGATTATGTAATTCAGAGAGGACGGAGGAAGAACATGCGGCGGCCTGTGGTGCTCGGGAGAGAGCTGAGCCCCTGGGAGCACGATCCTTTTGGCCTTCCCGACCTGGGTGTTCGTGGGTGTCTTCTTCTGCGCCCCAGCAAAGCATAGTCAGATCTCTGCAATTGTCCATGTCTTAATGGATGAGTTGCCTTAACATGGATTGAAAACAATACACAACGCTCTAAGTTGTTCCATTTACCTGGGTCCTGTTTCCTGGCAGTGGAATGGTCTCTCACTATGTGTCGCTGTTGATAGTCATTGCATGCACAGTAAGATCAAGATCGATGGAGACGTTTGGGGGCATACAGCAAAATTACTCAGCCATACTCCACAGCGTCGGCTGGACGAAGCTGACACGAGCTGGGCATCTGGCAGTTTAGTTTGCCATCAACATATGTATCCGTACGGATAGAATTGAGGTGGGCGGCGTGCTGCTGAGAAGTGTCCACTAACTTCAAAATGGCTATTGGCTAGCCTACCTATGCGAACCGGCTACGTAAATTCTGTACAGAGTGCACACAACGAGCTTGTGGAATGCCGTTCATCCGCGTGGTGTTTTTGCATACTCCGTGGGCTGCCGTCTCATCCCCATTCCGTCGTCTCGGTCCAGAAAGGTACTCCACGTAGGGAGGAAGATGATACCGGGCAGGCTACCTTACTTCGTAAGTTTGTATGCTCTGCCTGGGTCCTGCAGCAAGTAAGGTTCCAGGGGCTAACCTCACCACCCTGGCAGTTTCGAGACTGAATCGGGGCGGTGAAACACGCCTTCAACTGAGTACACACTGTGTCAGTACATCCTCGGCCCCTGACGGGCACCCCGTGTTCTCGAAACCCGAATCCTCTGCATGAGGTACAGCACCTTTTACGGTAACTACCATAACTTAATAAGGTAAGGTAGCTCCGGTAGGCACGCGGGGGTCAAAATCACAGGCCGGTCTTCTGAGTACCGTCAACAAAACTGACCCTTCAACGTCGAATAGTTAAGAAATATTAAATATTAAAACACACAAAGAGATTATTTAAGATATTTCTCTATACTTGAGAGATATTTCAATCAAGTTTAAACTTTTTTTTTTTTTTTTTTTTTTTTTTTTTTTTTTTTTTTTTTTTTTTTCTTTTTTTTTTTTTTTTTTTTTTTTTTTTTTTTTTTTTTTTTTTTTTTTTTTTTTTTTTTTTTTTTTTTTTTTTTTTTTTTTTTTTTTTTTTTTTTTTTTTTTTTTTTTTTTTTTTTTTTTTTTTTTTT